TTTTTTTCAATTTAGTGGAATAGAAACTATGTCATTGGTCTAGAGGCCTCAACTATTGCTTGACTTTAAAATATCTTTGGCTGGTGTGGTGGCACGTACCTGTAATCTCAGCACTGAGGAGGCTGAAGCAGGAAGATAGCTGTGAGTTTGAGGCCAGCCTGGGCTACATAGTGAGTTCAAGGCCAGCCTGCACTATAACGTGAGCCCTGTCTCAAAAAACACAGTTTATGTCATATAAATGTTACCTCAATGTAAAATAAAAAAGCAGCTAGAGTTGATGGGAAGGGAGAAATGGATGTCAGAGTGGCATGAGAATTATTGAGGGTGGTAGATATGGTCATTATCTTAATGTTGATGACTTCACAGGTTTATAAATGTGTAAAAAATCATAAAAACACTTTAGCTACAGTTTACTACATACCAATTATACTTCAATAAAGTGGTAAAAATGTAACCTGCATGCCTTCTTTCTCCCCCTATAGATATACACTTCTGAGAATTTCCTATAAATATGTCTTTGGGTATAAGTTTTTTTTTTTTTTTTTTTTTTTTTTCTGGAGATCAAACTCATCACCTAGTACTTGCTAGGTGCAAAGCTATATCCTCGGCCCCTAGTATAAGTTGTTTCTGTTTAGTGTGAGGGATTAGTCTGTTTTTTGTTTTTAATGTTTGTTTGTTTGGGACCAGGAATTGAACGCAAGACTATGTGCTTGCCAGGCAGGCGCTTATGCCATAGAGCTAAATCCCCAGTTCCATGTTTTATGGTTTTTTTGAGACAGGGTCTTGCTGTGTATTCCAGGCTGGCCTTGACTTACTGTGTAGGCAGTCATTCTGCCTCAGCCTTCCAAGTACCAGGATTACAGGCATGCACCACCCATGACCAGCTCAAGCATGAGGGATTTCAACTTGAGCTTATAGAAATAATTGGTTAAAACGTGATATTTATCAAGCTGAGTATGGTAATATACAACTGGAATCCCAGCAGTGTGGGAGCCTTGAGGTAGGAGGATTGCAAGGTCAAACCCAGCCTGGGCACTTTAGCAATTTGCCTTAACAACAACAACAACAACAACAACCAAAAAAAAAAAAAAAAAAAATGCTGCAGAGATGTAGCTCATTTGAAGGCTTTTGGTTCAAAACCCAGTACAAAAGGGAAAAAAAAAAGAAAAAAGAAAAAAATTTGCCCCTTGATTATAGCACCCTTAAAACTCTTTTCTATTGTGAATGAAAACTGTAAGTACTTTTAAATATAACCTGTTTGTAATGTAGAAGTGGGAGGAGCACAATTAAAAGAATTCTTTATTGCTCAAGTTGAAAGCTTATCAGGAAACCTTACAAAATCATCCAGTAGGAAAGATCTGTACAGCCGCCTGATTGTTAGTCTCTGAATCAGTTCAGTAGCCACGTCCATGTTTTTTGTTTTTTTGTTTTTTGTTTTTTTTCTGATTGGCTTTAAGGCCTTTTCTCCTGAAAGGAGCCATGACCTTTCATTCCATTGTTTAGTTAGGCCTGGCCTGCAAAAACCTCATGCTGTAGAGAAAATGCTCTTGATAAAGACAGCAGCAGTAAAGATAATGAGACAGTTTCTTTTTAAAAACCTTGGACCTCTGAGAGACTGTACAGAACATTAGTGGTAAGGACTTTAGAATTAAAGAAGACTGAATTTAAAGCCTGGTTTTCTTTCTTAGCACCAGGTGTGTGACCTCACTGATGGTTGGTTGACCCTTAATTTTTTCATTTATAAATTGGACTAATGATACTGTTTTTCAGATCATGAGGGGTTAAGAGGGTATTGTATATAAAAAGCATATCACAGAGCCTAGCATGTAGTAAATATTAAAAAATCAATAGTATTGCTGAGTGGTGACATATGCCTGTAATCCCAGCACTTGAGGCAGGAGGATCACCACAATTTGAGGCCATCCTGGGCTACATAGTGAGTTCAAGTGAGCCTAAACTACACAGCAAGGCCCTGTCTCAAAAAAGAAAAGAAATAACAGTATTAAAACTCTTACTATTATAATCTTACTTCTTGGAATACATGCAGCATGTACACTGAAAGAATTAAAAAGGAGACTAAATCAGATTCTAGGGATCCCAAGAGACAATCTCTCATGAAGGCCTGTCTGTGTAGGAAATTATAACAGTAATTCAAAATTAAACTTTTTATTTTGAAAAAAAAGATAAAGCCTATAGAAAACTGCAAGAATATATATCCCCTTTTGCTCCTCCAGGATTCATACATTGATAACATTTTGCCATATTTACTTTTTTCTTTCTTTTCCAGTGCTGAGCTACAGCTCTGCTAATGATACTGAGATATATTTGCTTCTCTCTCTCTCTCTCTCTCTCTCTCTCATTCTCTCATATGCAGGTTGGCCTTTAACTCACTATGTAACCCTGGCTGGCCTCAGACTGAGCAGTCCTCCTGTCTGAGCCTTCTGAGTGCTGCGATTACAGATGTGTGCTGCCATGCCAGGCTTTTACTTTCTTTTATGTGTAATGTTTTTCATTTATCTCTCTCTTTCTCCTCCTCTCCTTTCACCTACGGTAACTATATAGGTCATGACCCTGTATCTCAAGATATTTAACTATGTATCATCTTAAGCAAGGATAGTCTTTTGCATAATGATGTCGCTGTCAAAATCAGGAAATTTGACATCAGCTTATTATCTGATACACGTATTTAAATTTTGCTGCTATCCTAATAACTATCATTTATGGTAATTCCTTCTCCAATCTAGAATTGTGTATCTCATGAGTTACCATCTCCTTACTCTCTTTTAACCTGGAACAGTGTCTCAGTCTTTCGCTGTTTTTTATCACTTACTTGTTTTTGGAGCCTACTGGTACTTTTTAGAATCCTCTTGAATTGAGGTTTGTTTGCTTATTTCCTTGCAAATTGATGCAGTTACCTATTTTTGGCAAATAATATATCCTCACATCAGGAGGAATTATTGGTGATTTTGCTGTTACACTTTATATCTAGCTGGCTCCTCAGAGCTTCATGTCGTCATAGAAGGGGGTTAGGGGGAGATTGATTATGGTGCTTATAGCTGGTTTGCTGGGGAGAGGCAGGGTCTGGAAGGGTTTGTCTGCATTCCAGCTCCTGCCTGGTCTGTCTGCTTCCTGGCTGTCATGAGGTGAGCACTTTTCCTCTGCCATCCCCTTATGCTATGGACCCAGCCAAGTTGTGAGCCAAAAGAAACCTCTTCATTTAAGTTGCAGATGTCAGGTATTTTGTTTCAGGGATGAGAAGGTGACTAAGACATTTGCCAAGAGATTTTTTTTCTGCTATCAAGCTAATTCTTGATAGCAGATTTCTGCTATCAAGCTAATTTCTCCTTATAATTAATAAGTAATTTGCTGCATGGTTTCACCCAAGAGTTTAGAATTCTAAATGGTATTTTTACATCAAACATTTTTAGGGTGGGGCTCTGCACATGGTTTCCTCGCTTTGATTACAGGCTCCTTGAAAAAGTAGCTTGTACTTGCATTTTATTTATTTTATATGTTTATAGCGTGTACTGTGTTAATATATGTTTACATTGTGAAGTGATTAAATCCAGCTAAATAACAAATCTGTCAGCTCACACACATTTTTTTGGAGTGAAAGGCAGTTTCTGGGTGGTGTACACATTTCACTTTAGGCTTGGCTTTCTTGTTTTAAATGTCAGCCTGATACTTGGCCATGACTCATGGGGTGTCACCTTCAGTCTCCATTGTGGTCAGGTTTCGTGTATATCTTATTCTTGTGCCATGTTTGTAGTAGTTGGAGGAAAGAAGGTGAAGCGTAGTGCCTTTGTGTAGACAGCTGTCCCCTTCAGGAGTGCTTGGAGACAGTGGGCCTGCATGGAGCGCGCTCTCTAGCATTTGTCTTCCACTCTGCTTTGGGGGTTCTTCACTGGCCCATTATTTTAGGCAGAGGTTACAGTTGCGCCTAGAGTGTTCTCTATTCCCAATTTCTGGCTGATGCCTAACATTTCATCATTGTCAAGAAATTAAGCCTGGCATGGTGATGTAACAAAAAACGAAACAGTGTGCATCTGTTATCTTTAAAAAAATTACAAATAATCTAGGAGTTGGAGAGGTAGCACAAGCCAGCATCTAAACTGGAAGTGTTAAATAGTCCAAACTTTCCTGTGACAGCTAATTGATAGAAGCTCTTTATTAAGTGAGATAATAGAAATGAGTTTTCGGTGAGGGAAACAATCCTGGGTGGAGGTTTTAAAGCTGAGCACTCTGGAGAAGCTTGAGATGCTAAGATTCTGAAAGAGAAAGGGGAAATTGGTGCTGAAAAAAGAAGGGCGACACATTTGCAAGGTACAGTCTGCCAATTGCTTCCATAGAGCTAACTCTGGTGAAGTGGCTTCTGAAATCTGGAGGGTATTTAGGGTTCAGAAATCCATGCTTTTGTTAAACCAGATCTTGGTAGTAGACATCTGGTTAAAAACTCCTCTGTTCTGGTCGTACCCTCACATTGCCTTGCACCTGCCATACCTCCAGGTGTCCCAGCAATGCTGAGAGGGCTGGTGGCAAAGCCTATCAGGTGGAGCATCCCTAATGTCCCCAGAAAGCTTCAGATTTCAGAGCATTTTGGATTTCAAATTTTCCTAAGGATGCTCAACTGGTAAAGCCTGCAAATATTCCAAATCCAAAAGACTGAAATTGGACACTTCTGGTCCCAAGTATTTCAGATAAAGATCCTCAGCCTGATAGTTATTTTTCTCAACCACATTATTCTAATCTTTTACATACAGTCAAGATGTGAAATCGACAGTATGAGGCTTGCAGTGTTAGGAGGAAACTGTTCTGAGGTTGGGATTAATGGAGACCGTCATTCTGTAGAGGCATTTCAGGGTTGCTGCAGCAGCCTGTGTCTGAGGAGACTTCGTTGTTATTGCCGCACACCATGGGCTCATCTTGGTGAAATGTGAGCTGTGGAATGGAATGTTTTGCTGAATGTATTAACACCTCCAAATCCCACTCTCTCTGACCAGTTAAAAGAAGATGGATGCACAGAGTTCAGCCAGAGTCAACTCAAGGAAGAGGAGGAAAGAGGCCCTCGGACCAAATGGGGCAACAGAGGAAGATGGGATTCCTTCCAAAATGCAGCGCTGTGCAATGGTGAGGAAAGATGGGGTTTCTTCATGCACCCTTAACCTCGCAGGGGAGAGGGAAACAGGTGTAACAGATGTTGTGTCTCTTCTTAAATAATGGGGAGAATACTAAGTGTGAAGAGGGAAGGTATTTCACAGTTTTTGGAAGTACCATGCTCTTTTACCAGATTATCACTCCAGACCAGGTGTAGTAGCTTGACATGGTTTTTTGTTGTTGTTGTTGTTGTTTTTTGTGTTTTTGATACCAGGGATTGAACTCACAACCTTATGCTTGCTAGGCAGGTGCTTGTACTGCTGAGCTAAATCCCCGGCCCCATTTTTTTTTTGAGACAAAGTCTTGCTAATTAGTCCAGGCTGGCCTCAAACTTGTAGCCTCCTAAGTGCTGAGATTAATCTCACCCAGATTTGACATTAGAATTGGGAAAAGAATGTTAGGAAAGTTTGGGTGCTGCATGTAGATCGAGTTAAAGGTTAAATTTATTCAAAGAAGCTACAAAAATAGGGTCTAAGGCAGTGCTCTTATCTTCCCATTGTATCTTGATTTTGTCTTACAATCTATTCTCCTCATATCATTTTCCTCTCTATTGCTTTTTTTTTTTTTTTAAGCACCAGGGATTGAACTCATGACTATGCTTGCAAGGCAGGCACTTATGCTCCCTAGCTAAATCCCCGGATCTCCCTCCTATTACTGGCTGTAATCTTAGATGAGAAGATCTTCCCAAAACATTATGCACCTTTATCTCTGCAATATTATTGTCGTATTTCCTAACTGCTTCTAAGCCTCAGATAAAAGATCCCATTCCAGGCTGCCTCCCCTGTCTCAGCTTGATACCTCTTTTTAAGCTTCCTCTAATAAACATATCAGACTGGCTGTGGTAGGATACACCTGTAATCCAACACTCAAGAGGCTGAGGCAGGAGGATGTTAAGAGTTGAAGGCCAGGGGCTGGGGATTTAGTTCAGCGGCATAAGCGCCTGCCTTGCAAGTAGGCAGTTGTGAATTCTATCCCCAGTACCGATAAAAAGGAAAAAGACAAAAAAAAAAAAAAAAAAAGAGATGAAGGCCAGCCTGATCTACGTAGTGGCACTCTATCTCAAACAACCAAAACCAGCTGGACATGGTGGCGCTTGCCTGTAATCCCAGCACTTGGAAGGATTGTGGTGAGTCTGAGGCCAGCCTGGGCTACATAGTGAGTTCAAGGCTAACCTGAATTACAGAGTGAGACCCATCTCAAACACATAAAAAGAGTTGTTCCAAACCAAAACTTCATCTTGAGCAAAAGAAGCAGCTGTACTGCACTCATAGGAGGCATCCACCTGAGGTGTAATAGCAGTGGAATTGGTAGGGATGAGTGTATTTGTTTCCCACTGCTCTGTAACAAATGACAGCAAATAGCACATTAGAGTTGTGGCGATCAGAAGTTGGAAGTGTGTCTCAGAGAACTAAAATCAAGGTGTTGGCTGGGCTGGAAGTCCTAAGGAAGAATCCGGTTCCTTGGTCTTCTTGTCTGCTCAGGGTGCCAGTGGCAGTTGCACCACTCTGGCTGCTGCTGTTTAGGCACATTTTCTTTTTTAAATTTTTTTTTTTTTTTTTTTTTTGTCTTTTTCTTTTTTTATCGGTACCAGGGATCGAACTCGCGACTGCCTGCTTGCAAGGCAGGCGCTTATGCCGCTGAGCTAAATCCCCAGCCCCTAGGCACATTTTCTGATGTTGACTCTCCCACCTCCTCTTGTTACTCACAAGGTGGCTTGTGATTACTCTGGGCACACTCAGATCACCTGGGAGCCCACCTGCTGCAGAATCCTCTGCAGAGCCCTTTTTAGCCACAAAAGGCCACATACCATAGATTGCTGGGAATAGGGTACAAACATCTTTTGGGAACCATCATCCTACATGCCACAGCAAGAGAGGTTGGAAAATGGCCCAACAGTCAACGGGCACAGTTGACTCTGAAAAAGTGGCTAAGAGAAATCAAGTTAAAGAGCTGGTGGTGGGCACTCGGGGTTCAGTCACTTTGCTTCGTATATTCATGTAAAATCAGGTCTGTGGCTTACTGTCTCTGCCACATTCCTCCCCAGTATGTACTGGCTATTAAGCAAATGTTCGAGTCACTCAACAGGTGGGTCTGCATTTAGAGAGGAGGAGGATCGGCTAAATCAACCTGTCTGTTATTTCCACTCTACACTCTACTTTCTACCTCTGAATCCTTTTTAACTCTATAGCAAAAGTAAACAAGATATTTTACTCCTTTTCTAACAGCTTTGTTGAAATATAATTGCCATTTTATTATCTTCCCTTCCAACACAGCAACTCAGTAGATCTTAGTGTTTTCACAGATTTGTGCAGCTATTACCAAAACTGATTTTATTTTTTATTTTATAATTTTATTTTAGAGACGAGCTTGCTGTGCAGTTCAGGTCATCATTGAACTCACTATGTAGCCCAGGCTGGCCTTGAAAATATGCTACCATACCCTGCTGTGATGGACGTTAGAGTACTTCTGTCACCCCAGAAGCTGAGTACCTCTAAGCAGTCCCAACCACCCCCCCTTCTCCAGCTTCCTGAAACCACCTATCTTCCTGTGTGTGGCTTTGCTTATTCTAGACCTGACATACAAATTGTACCATACAGTATGTGGGCTGCTTTCACTGAGCATGGTTTCAAGGTTCATCTGCGGTATAGCATGCATCATTGTGGCATTTCTTTTCAGTGCTGAGTGATATCTCTTTATATATCTGATGCTGCATTTTTTTTTCCATTTGCCATCTGCTGTGCGATTGCGTCAACAAAGTTTTATTGCGTGCCTGTCACTGCCAGCATGGAAGGAGGTGCTGGGGTACAGAGATAAGCAGGGCCTTGCCTTTAAGAGACAGAGCCCATGGCAGAGCTCCACAGCTCAGGCTCTGTAGCTGTAGAAGAGTGCTTTCCATGCAAGTGGAAAGGACCACCCAGTGGCGGGTAGCTAGGTTGGTAGATCAGGGTGAAGTAGACAGAAGAATTAGGAAAAAAAAAGGAATAACTTTATGCCATTCGTCTTGTAAGTGTAACGAGTTTACTGATTACATGTTTTTAAAGGACAATCAAATGGCTTCCAAGGCATGGGGACATAGTTCCATAGTAGGGCACTCACTTAGCATGCTTAGGGCTCTAGGTTTGATCCTACACTGCAAAAAAAAAAAAGATCAAAAAGTATTTTCACAAAGTAAGACATTTGGGGGCTGGAGGTTTAGTTCAGCGGCATAAGCGCCTGCCTTGTAAGGAGGCAGTCGTGAGTTCGATCCCCGGTACCGATAAAAAGGAAAAAGACAAAAAAAAAAAAAAAAAGTAAGATATTTGGCCTGTCTTAATATTCATCATGTGTGTAACTGAGTCACAAAATGCCTGAACTATGAAGAAAGCTGTCTGCAGTTCTGATTATGGCTAAGTGGGTCCCAGCGTCTCCAACATGTATTAGAGTTGAGAAAGTAACCTTGCTCTCAAGCTCATGGACAAATAGGTAAAAGAGACAGGAACAAATAATGTGCAGTATGAGAAGTGCCAAATGAAATGAAATTAAAAGTACTGTTTTAGGCTGTTTAGAGAAGCAAGAGATTGACTTGGGCCAGAGGGTGGGGCAGTGGATATTTGTTTGTTTAGTTTGCAACAGACTGGTTTTGAACTCACTATATAGGCCAAGCTGGCCTTGAATTTTGTAGTTCCTACCTCTGCTTGCTGAGTGCTGGGATTACAGGCCTGCACCACCATGTCTGGCTGGGGATAGTGTTTTGGCAAGCTTCACCGAGATTATTTCTGATCTGAACTTTGAAGGATAAGTAAGAAGTCAAAAAGTGGTCCCAAGGGATAGAGCACATATTCAGAAGGGTGAGATAGTACCGTGTCCTGCAGATTCCAAGTCATATTGCTGGGGTTCAGAATCAGGGTCTGTGATAGGAGGAAGGCAAGGGCGCAATGGGGAATGACCTTGTATGCTGTGCTGAGGAATCCGGGCTTGGTCCTCTAGGTGAGGGTCAGAGTTATGGTTTAGGAAGATCATCCTGATTGCTTCAGAGCAGTTGGGTTAAACAGGACAGGTGAGAGCTAGAAAGACTCATTGTTGTAATGGCCCAGGGTGGAGGTAATGGGGGCTTCAACTATGATAGAAACGGTAAAGGTTCTTAAAAGGTAAGCTAGACAATTCTTGGTGATTAAGGGGATGTAGAGCCTGTGAAATATTAAGCATGACTCCTAGGTATCAGCCTGAAGTATATGGAATGCTTCTCTTTGAAATAAAACAGAAGAGGGAAAATAGGTTTAGGAGGAGGAGAAGCTTAATTTAGTGCACGTTCACTTTAAAAGGCCTTATGGAGATACCAAAATAGCCATTGTATAGATTGGCTCATTGTTTATACTTATTGAAATGATGGTGCAAGTTGGAGACTATTACTTTTTTTTTGTTTAGCTTTTTTTTTGTAGGACTGGGGATTGAACTCAGAACTATCATAGTGGCCACTTCATCAGCCCTGTTTATTTTTTTGAGACAGCATCTTGCTAAGATGCTCCAGCTGGGTTCAAACTTTGACCCTCCTGCCTCAGCTCCCCAGAGTAGTGGGATTCCAGGTGTGCTGCATGTGCCTGGCTATATTTGTTTTTAGGAACAGATGCACTGGGCATGGTGGGACACATCTGTAATCCCAGCAGGAGGCTTGCCTTGAGTTTGAGGCCCACCTGGGTTATATGTTGAGCCAAAGGCCAACCTGAAAGACATAGTAAGACTTTGTCTCAAAAACAAAACAGAAACAGAAACAAAAACGCCCAGGAAATGGAATTTTTTGCTCACCTCATCCCCTCTTTCTCATGTCATACGTTACAGTATGCCTTTCGACTCTATAGCCTTTTCTCCTGAAAGAATTTGGACTACAGGAGGACGACCCATTACTGCTTGTGCAGAATGTCTAGGTAAAAGGGAAATGTCTCTTTGTGGCGTTTAGAAACTTTCTGCTAAAAATATTCGAGAATCGTTGGGGAACAGAAAAAGTGTAGGAAGTTAATGTCAAGTTCTAGGTTCGCTTTACTTGTGTTGTTTCCATTGCCCTGTTAGTGTGAATACTAGAATTTCTTTTCCTGAGATTTTAGGAATGAAGAGTTAACATGTGCAAACAGGAAAAATTATGATGGAAGTAGTATTGCATTCAGAACATTCGTAATTTGAAGAATGCTCATTATCATTATTAGTTTTTGGTTTTGATTTTATTTTTTGAGACAGGGTCTTGCTATGTAGCCCAGGTTGGCCTTGACCTTACAGCAATTTTCCTGCCTCAGCCTTCCAAGTGCTGGGATTATATATAGTTTGTGCAGCACCATACGCAGGTAGTTATAATTTTTAGGTGCATCAATTTTGAATGAATACAATTTAGATAATTGTGTTGGTATGCTGAAATCTATGTTAGATTTATTGAGGGCCTGCTATATGTGAAACATTGTACTAGTTACTTTGCAGATATTTTATATACTCACAGTAAATTTGTAGGGCAAGAAATTATCTTCTTTTTTTTTTTTTTTAGTTTTTAATATTTTGTATTTTAAAAATTAATATTATTGGGCCAGGGATTTAGCTCAGGGGCATAAGTGCCTGCCTTGTAACCGTGATCGTGAGTTTGATCTCTGGTACCAAAAAAAATATATATTATTATTATTATTTACAGTTCTGGAGCTCTTAGCTACCTCCTTAGCCCCCTTTTAACTTTTATTATGAGACAGGGTCTCATTAAGTTGCTCAGGCTAGGCTTGAATTTGTGATCTTTTTGCCTCAGCCTCCCAGATAGTTGGTATTACAGGTTCTGGCTACTGTGCTTGATTTTGTCTTCCATTCTTAGAAGACAAAACAATAGCTTTAGAAGCCAGCTGCGACTTCACAGCTGTTCAACTGGAAGGTAGATCTAAGTTTTTCAAATTGTAAATCTGTATCCTTTCCTGTCTGTGTCACCACCGGATAGGCAAGGCTTGACTTCAATACTGTAGGATTCCCTTGAAGTCAAAGAGGAGGAGAAGAGTTTCAGTTGCGCACAGGAAAGATATATCATTTCCTGCTTGTATGCCACTCAGCATCCAGAGGCACTGTTCTCTGAGACAGCCCTAGGAAGATAAGATTCTGCTAACCTCTTGTAACTATGGAGCCTTGGTTTCATTCTCTCTGCCCAAGGAAATCGAGGCAGCATAAACCCAGCAGGAGCAATGACCTCATTTGGTCCTTGCTGGGAATATGCGTGGCATAGGAGGAAGATGGCAGAAACAGTTATGGGAGACAAGATGCTTAGAACAGCTTTTAAAGTTGAAATAAACTTCACATAATAACATAATGGTCACCATTTTAACTATTTTGTAGGTTTTTGTTTTTTAATAAGATCTCACTGTGTAATTCAGGCTGGTCTTGAACTTTCCTTGTAGTCTAGGCTTAAGTATTCAGATCAGTGGTTTATTGTATACTCACAGTATCTTGTAATGATTATCTAATTTTAAAACATTTCATCATCTCCAGGAGAAATTCCCATGATTCCGCTGTTACTCTCCTTGACCACCAGGCAACCACTTTTCTCCACTCTGTGGGTTCATTCTGAATGTCTCAAATGAAAGGGAATGTAACCTTTCATGGCTATGTGTCTGGCTTTTTAGTTTAGCAGGATTTGTTTTGTTTTGTTTTGTTTTGTGATACTTGGATTGAGCCTGGGGGTTGATACATGCTAGGCATGTACTCTGTTACTGAGTTACATCCCCAGCCTTTTTTATTTTGTTTATTTTTACTTTGAGACATGGTCTCACTAAATTCTCCAGGCTGGCCTTAAACTTGCAATCCTCTTGCCTCAACCTCTCCTGAGTAGCTGGGATTACAGTCATGTGCTTTGTAATATTTGTAATATTACAAATAGGCTATTGTAGTATTTTTTAAAGTCTTAAAGGTGTAGGTAGTAGCCTGCATCAGTACTTTGTTCTTTTTTCTTAGGTGAATAATTTTCCACACATGGACATACCATTTTGTTCATTCATTCATTCAGAAGAAATTTGAGCTATTTCTATATTTTGTCTATTGTGGATAATGCTGCTATGGACACTTTTGTGTATAAGTTGCTTTTTTTTTTTTTTTTTTTGAGACAGGATCTCACTATATAGTACAAGTTGGCCTTTAAACTCACTTATGTAACCCAAGGGCAACTGCGATCCTCCTGCTTCAGCCTCCTGAGTGCTGGGACTATAGGCACAAGCCACCATACCCAGCCTTATAAGTTGCTCTCTACAGAATACACAGTTTCAGTTTTCTTGAGTATATACCGACGTCCAGTGTCTAGGTCACACATTTCTGTGTTAAACATCTAGAGGAACAGCTTTGCACAGCTGTGCACTGTCTTCCATTTCTAATGGCAGTGTATGAAGCTTCCAAGTCCTCCATATCCTTGCCAAGTGTTTTGCTCATCTTTTTGTAGCATCTCTGTGTGTGGGAAATGCCTGTTCACTGTTTTCCTGATAACTGGTGTGAGCACCCTTTTGCTGCACTCGCTGGCCATTCCTAAGTCTTCTCTGGGGAGATGGCGGCCTCCCTTTGCCGCCTCCTTTCCCTTCCATCCATCAGGCCCTAAGCCTAGATCCTTTGCTGTTTCTGTGCTGAATGTGATGTTCAGCAGTGGCATTCATCAGTGCAATGCCCTCGCAGATTTATTTTTAATACTTTCATTCCAGCCTCGCCAAAGGTAAATTCCTTTCCTCCGGAAATAGTGCTGTGAAAGGTGAGAGCACCAGACGGAAGTTTCTACATCCTCCCTCTTTCATCCAGCGTTAGTCCTGTATTTCCTTCCTGCCTCTTGCTGTTAGAAAACTGTTTCTGGGACAGGCATCCTCCCCCACCTTTCTCGAGCCATTTCCTACCTTTTATCCAGACTCGTGCTTCCAAATTATCTGTTCTTCTTTCTCTGGCATTTTAATTACTTGGGCTTCTTTCCCTCATCTTTTAGACATGCACAGATCTCAGCTGTGAAAAACTCCCAGTTGATCCTGCTGTCCTGGCTGGGGACCTCTCTGTTTTTCTCATTCCCTTTATGGTCACACATTTTTAATGAGAAATTATGATTAATCTATTAGTGCCCCCCTTGTTTGATCCCAGGGCCTCACACTGAACTACCTCCCAGCCCTTTTTTATCATTTGAGGCAGGTTCTCACTAAATTGCCCAGGCTAGAATTCTGCTTCATCTTCCCACAGTGCTGAGATTACAGTCATGAGCCACACACCTAGCTAAGCCATTTATTATTCATGCCATGATCTACCCATATATATATAGAGAGAGACAGACAGACAGAGAGAGAGAATTTACAGATAGATAGATGGTTTATTTACCCACTTTGAAAAAGGTTGCACCTTTAACTTATCATTTTGGAAAACTTTTGTGTGTGTGCGTGCACACACATGCGTGTGTTACAAGGCATTGAATGCAGAACCTTTACATTGAGCTGTATCTCCAGTTTTTGGGGGGTTTTATTTTGGAGACAAGCTGAGACCTGTGGGCCAGTGCTTGCAGTCCTTCCACTTCACCCTCCAAGTACCAGGATTACAGCGATGAGCCACCCTACCTGGTGTGAGTACTGCGGCACCCCGCTTCATGTTATCACATTTTAGAGAAATTTTAGTCACAAGATACTGAATAACTGATTTTTCTTTAAAGCTTCATGCTGAAGTATTTCAGTGTGTACCACTGAATTTAACTTTCTCTTCCTTCACCTTTTTCTTTTCAAGGGCTTACGGGAACCAGCTCCTTTTTCTGATGAAATCGAGGTTGACTTTAGTAAGCCCTATGTCAGAGTAACTCTGGAAGAAGCCAACAGAGGAACTCCTTGTAAGTAAACACCTACTTCATTATTTTGTTGTTTTACTGTAGTTTTAGCATTCCATTGTATTAATCAAATGCCTGCTCTTTATCTACTTCCATCAATCAGCTTACTTGGGAAGGCAGGTGAAGGTTAGCTATGTTTCACCTGATACTCTGTTTGGAGGAGGAACTATCTATACTCTAGAAAGTTATTTTTCCTCTTCCTCATACACCTATTCTCTGAGCTGTCATCACAGCTATGAGATCAGTGAAGTGAAAACAGTAAGGCACTAGTCCAGCTGGTTATGATCTAGCAGGTATTTATTTGAGGTGGTTGGCACTGAATCCAGGACTTCATGCCCTGTACCCTTCTGAGCTACACCATAGCCTCATGATCTTGTCTGTTTTTTTATGAAGATCCGAATAATATCATTCTGTCACAGTTTTTATACCCCCCCAAATTATCCCCATAGTCACCCCTGATTGCATTAATTGGCCATGATATTGACAGAGGACAAGAATATCCCCACGAGAAAGATGCTTATTACTTCATTTTGTTTTTGCTGGTACTAAGTTTCCAGATATATTTATTTTTTATTTCCTGTGAGACAGGGTCTTGCTGTGTAGTACAGGCTAGCCTTGAGTTCACTGTGTAGCCCAGGCAGATCTCAAACTCACAGCAAACCTCCTGAGTGCTGGAGTTACAGGTGTGTGCTGTCACACCTGACTATAGATTTTTTTTTAAAGACTTGTTTGTGATTTTCAGTGCCCATACTCTATTTGTATGATTCATGTATGCCCTTATTCATTAATAGTTTAGACCACAGAAATTGTATGTATTGTGACTATGCTTCCCCATTAGAGCAGCTGGTCTTAGGGATCACCAAAATGAAACTCCCATGAGCATTTTGCAGGGGGCAGTACTGCGAATTGAACTCAGGACCTTGTGCTTCCAGGTAGGCACTTATGCTGCTGATCTATATCCCCAGTCCAAGCATTTTTTTTTTAAATGAATACAAAGTCCTTTGACAACTGTTCTTTCCTGTAAATTCTGTAGTTCTCTCTCTCTCTCAATCCTTTTTCAGTTTTCAAATACTATGATAAATAGACTCTCTACTCTGTAAATGCGGAGCTGGACTTAGAATTAGAGGCTGTTACAGCCACAGGTATATATACATTTCCAATATATGTACTATATATTTGGGATGACTTTTAGATTGTTTCTTAGTGATGTTCGATATGGCCGTTAAGGCTGAGGAGTAGTAAAACGTGAATAAAAATGATGCCAGGTGGTGTCAGGCCAGGGCTCCCAGCTGCCTTTGTCTGTGTCTGGGGTGTGGATTAGAGTTTGAGGCTCCTCAGGAGGAGAGGCTGGTTCCAGAGACTGCCTTCCTGTTGCAGAAGTGTTTAGCAATAGCACGAGTTGATTGTCGCCTTCTGACTCATGACATGACCTTTGAATTTGGCTCCCTTACTTGAGTAATAGAAAAGCTGCGGGGGGCGGGGTAAAATGAAAACAGGGGCAGAGGCCATGGACATGAAGTGGTGGAATGGTCAGGGCAGATTGCAGAATGCCAGCAGCAGCGCAGGGTTCATGTTCGCGTGTGACGGTGGAGCCTGTTGGAGGCCAGAACTTCCTGCACACTAAGGACACGTCAGAATTAGTTCCTCACTCGGGTCCAGTCATGACGGTCAGCTGCCTATCCTTTTACTGACTCACCCGCACACCCTTCGTGTCCATAGACTGGAAATAGGCGCAGAGGGCTGGGGCGTGGTTCAGAGGTGGGCTGCACACTGAGCGTCTTCGAGGCCTGGGTTCAGTCCCTTTGCTGACATGGAAAATGTGTGCTGTGTTACCAGGTTTTGAAGCTTATAATTAATAAGCACTGGGCTGGGGATGTAGCTCAGCAGCACAGTGCCAGCCTGGCAAGTGCGAGGTCCTGAGTTTGATTTCCAGTACTGAAACAAAACAAAACAAAACAAAACAGCACTAACTTAAATGATTAAAATTTTAGGATGGGGCCAGGGATTTAGCTCAGCAGCATAAGCACCTGCCTTGCAAGTGTGCAGTGGTGAGTTCAATCTCCGGTACCAAAAAAATAAAAAAATAAAATAAAAATTTTAGGATAGTTGTATAAGTAACTCAGATAAGAAAAGCAGATTATCTGCTTTATAATCTCTTCACTGTATACATGAAAAAAAGCCCCACAGAAACCTAAGTGAAGGCTGCCCTACAATAAAAGAGAAAATTAACGACCAAACTGGAGCTAAAAGCTAGATCTTTCCATGTTTGAGTCCCTAGAGTGGTGCTGTTCTTTCTAGCTGACATTAGCTGACACAATAGTGTCAGTTAGTGAAGTTACTATATTTTAGGTTGGACAGAGTTGCAAATTAGCCTATAAGGTCTGCTGGTCTAATTTGACCTCTTGCTTTTCTCTTTCGTGTCCTTCTGTCCTGCATTAAATAGTGGACTGTATTCATGCCAGCGCTGGACAAGGCACAAACCAGTACTGCACCTACCCACGCCACAGTGAATGAACCCAGGAACTGCTGGGGAAGGGGAGGGTGTGCTCCTACCAAGATGTCTCTAGGGAAGTTTGTGGGCCTCAGAAGGGGAATTTGCAGAATCTAGGACAAAATTCCCTATCCAGAAAAAAACAAAAACAAAAACATGAGATCAGTTTTAGAAATCTTTTGGAAAACAAAAAAAAATTGTTTTGACTCAAAGGAAGAGAAGGAATCTGAAGGGTAGTGTTCAGGCCAGATTGTTTCCATGATAGGTATCTAGGACATAGATCAAAAGAGACAGTAAATTAAAGCCCAGGTTGGCTCTGCCTGAAGGAAGTCATCTAGTTACTTCTTCAGCAGTAGGGCAGCTGCCTAATTTGTAACCCAGTCAGGACAGTTTTACGAGTGACAGGGGCTTGTTCTTAGGAGTATGCTGAGACAGCAGTTGCCCATCAAGGGCTGTGCTTTCTTGGTCAGTGGCTGCTGTTGAAAGCAAACCCAACTGTAGCATTCGCTGCAGACTATTCAATAGTGCCCCCTCCTGGCCACAAGGAGACTATTCCAGTTGGGTCTACCAGAGACTATGGGTTAAATCTGAGGCAGTTAGATTCCCAGAGGAAGAGGGCAGGAGACATGACAGGACTGGGGTTGGTGCTACAAAAGGCTCAGTGATGCTCTTCATGTAGTTGGACAGACAAGCTGCACTGGCAGCAGCGTCCAGTGCTCTCGCCACTGTCCAGCAATGTATTCCTGAGCCAGACTTCCCCTGACAGCAAGAAAGAAAAGTGTGACAGAAGGCTCTTAATTTCTATATCCTGTCCTTCGTCTTTCAGGTTCAAGTACAGTGAGGCCATAGCCTCTCCGTACTTGCTTGGGAAAACGGAAGTATGTTGGTTCATGATTTCTAGGGTATAGAAGAAGGTTACATCTCTCAGATTTTGCTTTGTTTTGCTTTGTCTTAAAGGCATAAAGAGGTGAAGGTTGCAGGGGGAGGAAGCTGTTGGGAAGCTTGAGCTAGAATCTTCCTGCCTCTTAAACCCATTAAAGGGCAGATGCAGCTCAGTGGGAGGCTGCATGCAGAGCATGCTTGAGGCTCTAGTTTCACTGCCAGCATCAGAGGAAAACATTATTTCCATTTCAAAAACTTATTTCCTTATTATAAAATCTGGACACCTCTATGTTTGACCTTTGGAAAGTACAGCAAGGACATGGGATATAGTGTCTTCCATAGCCACTCAGCACTGACCCTTTTCCAGGGTACCAGGAGCACCAGTTTCTCATCAGTATCTTAGAAATCTAGGTTTACATATCTTCCCACATTGCAGTGGATGTGTGATGTTACTTTTCCACTGAAATTTAGGCTGTTTCCAGACCTCTGCTATTACAAACAGTACTGCTATGGATAATGCACGTTTACAAATAGGTTGGAATAGCTGAACCAAAGGTACAAACATTTGTCTTTTGATAAATACTACTTCATTTCTCTTAAAAGTTACTGATGTTTCTGTCAACAACATATGATATAGCCATTTCTTTTCTTTTCTTTCTTTCTTTCTTTTTCTTTTTTTTTTTTTTTTTTTTTGTCTTTTTCATTTTTATCGGTACCGGGGATCGAACTCACGACCGCCTGCTTGCAAGGCAGGTGCTTATGCTGCTGAGCTAAACCCCTAGCCCCTGATATAGCCATTTCAAGTGGCATGTTTATGGATACATCTGAAAAGTTGAAAATCCAATAATCATTTCCTGCTCCTTGGTCCACAGCCCTTAAATGGGGATGGGGCTGTGACATGCTTGCCCACAGTGATGGACGGACTTCTGCTGCACAGTGAGATAGCTTGTCTTTCAGTCACACAGTGGAAAGAAGTGTGACTCCTTGGCCCCTGAAGCCTGATGACAGTTGTGTCCCTTTCATTTTCAGCATGCTTATTTGGCTTCAGAAGTAGTCTTAAAATCTAAGAGATAATCTCCTGACTTCTGGTTCATAAGCCACTATCTCCAAAGATAAAAATTGATAGCAAGAACTTTTTCAATACTTACTATGTCATCCTATACTGAAAAACTGTAATATCATGCTTACCACAAAGGAGAAATGCTGCAAGACACTCAGCACAGAGCAGGTATTGCAGGTGACTCTGGGCCTGGAAAAGTGCGCTGATGAGTGCTCTCTTTAGCTGCTCAGCCTTCCTCTGACCCTTATTCTCTGGGCAGTTTCGCGAGATCTCTTTTCAAGCTTTAGTTATTAGTAGTCAAGGCAGCCTGGAAATGAGACAGCACGGCACCAGAGCAGAGTGTGATTAGATTCTGTGCAAGCACAATGGAAGGCTCAGAAACTGAAGGTGAAATGCTGAGGGTTGGGCCTGACAGCCACTGAGCCCTCTTCCTTTTCCTCTAAAGTATCAGCTGTATCTGCTAGAGGCCGGCTACAGAGAGTAAGTGGAGCTGTCATGGGGGTCTGTGCTCAAGGATGTCTGTGATGCAACCCCAACTTCCCCCACTTAGGGTGACTACCCAGAGAACCCCTGAGGAGAAATGTGTGCAGCAGAGGAAATGTCACAAGAGCTGCGTTCACTTTGTTAACTATGAGGTAGCGAATAAATGTGTGTGATGATTATTTCTTCCATTTGAATTAGGTGAGCGACCTGTGCGAGTTTATGCAGATGGAATATTTGACTTGTTTCACTCTGGTCACGCCCGGGCTCTGATGCAAGCAAAGAACCTCTTCCCGAATACATACCTCATTGTGGGAGGTAGGAAAAGATCCCAGCTCTCTATCCCTCCTTTCGACGTGACCTTAGTATACTGGCCCTTTTTTCCATTTTTTTGTTTGTTTATTTGTTTTTCTAGACAGAGTCTCGCTGTGTCATTCAGGCTGGCTCGAATTCACTATTTAGCCCAGGCTGGCCTTGAACTCATGGGGATCCTCCTGCCTCAGCTTCCCGAGTGCTGGGATTACAAGTGTACCTTGTTTCCATTTTTAAATGATGGCATTGGTACCACCTCCTTCCAGGAAGTCTGTGGAGTGCTCCAACCTCAGCCTGGGTTGCGGAGCTGCGAACTTACTGACCCAACATGTGGCACTGAACTCTCAATACACTGAAGTACGAAGGTCTGCCAAGCAGATGTCCTGCTGTGCTCTGGACCAGTTTTATAAAAAGGGGAAACATTTTTAAAAACATTGATCGATGCAAAAACACATACCAGGTTCCTTCCAAAGTCAGAGATCTTAGTCCCTGCCGTACCTGCTCTTCTCCAAGGTGTGAACACACTCCACTTAGTGCTGCTGCTCCTGGAGGAGGGGCTGGGGTCAGAAGTGTTGGCACTGGGCTAATCCCAGTCTTTATCTGAGTCGTGGGTCTAGAAGAGGTGTGGGGAGGTTGGAGGCTGAAGAGCATGAAGCGAAGGGGACCTGGGCTTACCCCTTTTCCTGTGGTGACCCCAGTCTGCAGTGACGAGCTAACGCACAACTTCAAAGGCTTCACGGTGATGAACGAGAACGAGCGCTACGACGCAGTGCAGCACTGCCGCTACGTGGACGAGGTGGTGAGGAACGCGCCCTGGACCCTGACCCCCGAGTTCCTCGCAGAGCACCGGGTAAGAGCGTGGCCTGCGTGCCCCTCCCATGTCTCCATGCCCCTCAGCTCACATGATTGCGGGCACTCCGGCTTCTTGATCACTAGCCCGCTCTCTGGGAGCTTTACCGAGGCCCTGGCATAGTATTACTAAGAGTGTTAGTCATGGCTGACATCTGTGGAACCCAGTGGTTTACAAGCACTTGCACAGTGCTTGCGCCCCATGGCAATCTTGTGTGATCCTTATTATTTCCACTTTCCCCGGGAGGATTGAGACCCAGAGAGCCCAAAGAGCCTGCTGCAGTTTCTGCCGTCAGCAGACCTGGAACGATGGCTGCCGTACCCATTAGCCCACCAGTTCTTCTGGGTACCATAGCCCAGCCATGTGCTCAAGAAGTCCACATTCTGGAAAACAGAATGGATTAACATAACTTCCATTGCCTTAAATTTTGTTTCAGGGCTTTGATTTGGGGCTAGAAATTGTGCAGGGTCAGAAATCAGGGATGTTTCTCACAGTTATTCAGTAGTGAGTTGTTATTGTATAGCTCCTTACCTCCTTGGAGTTCCCCTCACATTAAAATAACATTTCTTACAAAAGATGAGGAGGATAGAGGGGTTGGGGGAAGACCCCCCAGCTTGCTGGCTATCTCCAGGGCTGTGTGGAACTTGCAGGAGAATTGTTTAAGGAGGAAAGAGACAACAAAGTGGCCCAAGAGCTCCTAAAGCAGTGCCTGGTCCTTCTGTCTATTGTAACTGTAGGATTAGGACAGACCCTCTTTAGTTCTCTAGCTTTTCTGCATCAACACTTAGCTGCCAGTGGCACATGGGCTGAGGAGCAAGGTTGTTCCCAGCAGTACACACTGCCAGAAAGTCTGAGACAAAGGACCCCAACTTCCCTTTTCTCCTGGAAGCTGTGTATCTCACCCTGTGCTTTGCTGTGCTGCCCATGGATCCAGACAGGGTGTTCATGGATATCTGTGGTATTAGCTGGATTTTTAGACATGCTTCACACTGCACGGGCCCTGGAAGTTAGCTGCATTGCTTATGTCATGTGATTACATGAGCACGTGAGAGGCCATGACCTCTTCAGGAAGCAATCCATAAGCAAGGGGTAGCAGATCTCTCAAAGATCATTGATGCCCAGGGCCATTAATCCCCTCCTGAGTTTGCAAAGCATATTGACAGTACCCTGAGATCCTGGGGCCTAAACGGGCTTTTATAGCAGTGGCTTTTATACTGCATTTTGAGGTAGTACAGATATATCTCTTCCAGGAAGAGGGCTGGTGATTGCTATTTTTATATTCCATCTCTTCTCACGAACTGAGAGAGAAGCCCGTTACCACAGAAGTGACCTCTTTTTCATACTTTTAGAAGCCTTTAGTTGACCAGTCCTCATTGGCCAGGGAGGATAGGGAGATTTCCCTAGGCTGTCCCCGCTGACTAGCTAACCAGAAAACCCTCCTGCCTGCCGTGTTGCCACAGCATGGTTCGGGTGCACAGGAGGGAAGCAGCATCCTAACAAACCAGGTGGAATACCTAGAGATGTGCGGCCTCTCTGTGGCTTCTGATCCACAAATAATTGGGTGAGTGGACCATTGGAACTTATCAGCATAGAGAGAAGTAGAGAAAAAGTCCTGGCCCACACCTGATCTTCTTCTGGCCCTGAGAACATTTCTGAGGTCTTTCTGAATGGCGGTTATCCTGGGTCTAAGTGACATCTTCTTGTTCTCAGATTGATTTTGTAGCTCACGATGACATCCCTTACTCTTCTGCTGGGAGCGACGATGTCTATAGGCACATCAAGGAGGCAGGTGAGCACGGTGTCCTGGGAAGCCCCAGAGATGTGGCCACACTGGTAGTTCATAGAGGACAATGTCACTGAGAACCCTGACATCAACTTTCAGGTCACACTTTGGTGAAAGTAAAGATGTATACAGTACTGACACCCTCCAATCCTTGGTCTGAATGTCTGATTTTGATGTCTGTCTTAAGGTCAGAAATATCTCCCCAGGCCACGTTTTCCTTAATCTGGGGCTGTGTCCCTCCTCCTGGTCTCACCCCTGGTCTCTCTGTGCGCCTGCTGTTTGCCAGTACTTGCTAGGCTTGGCTCAGAAGCCACAGGGTCTGCACGTAGCATAGGAAGGAGTTCTGCTCCCATTTCTCCACCTCTGCCAGTGCCCACAGAGTGTCATGGTGTCTTTCTGTGTGTTCTGGAGCCAGGCATGTTCGCACCGACACAGAGGACAGAAGGCATCTCCACGTCAGACATCATCACCCGAATTGTCCGGGACTACGATGTGTATGCCAGGCGCAACCTGCAGCGGGGCTACACGGCCAAGGAGCTCAACGTCAGCTTCATCAACGTGAGTTCCACCCTGCCCCACAGCTGGCTGGCTTGAGGGGACACTGACCTCCTCCCAGCCTGAGCTGAGAGTTTGTGAGTTGCTGTCACTGTCATTTCTCGAAGCTCATGCAGCCCGCTCTACAGCTCCCACCTGGCTAAGCTCTTCACAAGAGAATTAAGCAGAGGCAGAACATAAACAGGCAGCTTCTGGGACTGGGGATTTAGCTCAGCAGCATAAGGCCTGCCTTTCAAGGGCATGGACATGAGTTCAATACCCGGTACCGCTTTAAAAAAAATAAAAACAGGCAGCTTCTGCCTTAATGATCTGGTAGCAGCATACTTGGTCATAGGACAGACGACCGAGTATATGAAAAAGGACACGTGATTTAATAGTGCATTATGAGGTGGGCGTGGTGGCACACTCCTGTAATTCCAGCACTTGGGAGGCTAAGACAGGAGGATCACTGTGAGTTCAAAGTCAGCCTGGGCTACATTGTGAGACCCTGTTTCAAAAAACCAGAAACAAAGAAAACAGAACAAAAATATACATTATTTATCTCAACACATTTAAAACAATAGCTCATGACTTTCTTTTAATGTTTTCTTTTTTTGGAATGCTGTTTTGAAGATCCTATGAAAGCTATGGATCTGTGACATACATTTTGCATGCAATTTCTCCACATGGACCCACACTTTAAATTTTAACTTGTGAAAGCTTAAGTTTATCTTAGCTTACTATTACTGGTTAGAAATACAGCATATTTTATCTATAAATTGTGCCACAGCAAAGTTGATTTAAAAGAGAAGAAAGCTATTCTCTATACGTTCTCCATAGCTGTGAGCCTCCCCAGCTGTGTGAATCATGCAGTGAAGTGAAATGGTTTCATCTGAATAGGATTTTTCTCTGCAAATAAACCTAGCAGTTAAGGAATTCATCTGCTTCAGTCTTGTTTCCCCCGTAAGACTAAGGTGTTTGAGCACCCTCAATACAGACAGAGTTTTTGCAGGTGGAAAGGAGAACAGGGAGTGCAGAGAGTTACAGTGTGTCCGCGTCCACTGGCAGCTGCCCAGGAGGAATCCAGTCAGCATGTACTGTAAAAACAGGCAACACAAACTCTTTTTAAAAACTGGAAGTCTTAAACGTACTTCCTTATTTATTTCCTCCTTTTCTTCCTCCTCTCCTCTTCTCCATCTTCTTCGTCCCTCCTTCTCCTCCTCCTCTTCCTGCTTCCCTCTGCCCACTTTTTCTCCTAGGTTCTTGCACAACGAAGCATGTACTTTATTCCCTGAATTACACCCCAACTTCTCCTCTTGTGTTTTCTTTTCACATTTATTTACCTATATGTACATGTTTGTAGTACATGATGTTTACCTTCCCTGTGTGGAGCTGGATCTCTCTCTCTCTCTCCTTTTTTAAGACATGGTCTCACTGTGTAGCTCAGGCTGGTCCTGAACACAACTGTGTTAACTCACAGTGACCCACCTCCCTCAGTCCAACTACAGGCATTCACCACCACACCCAGCCTGTCCTTTTCTTATGACCTGGAAATTACGAGTTTTCATAAACACCCCCCAAACACTCACACACAAGAGAGTTCATCTTATTTTTCCTTATCTTTAGGAAGGTTGGTAGGACCAGAGAGTATTGTCTTCATTTTGCAAATGAGTAAATGGACCCTCAGACACTAAAAATAAAACACAGCCCATCAGAAATAAAATAAACCAGCAGTAGGAAAACAGCCAGTACAGTAAATTAATAAAGATCTGGTACTCGTAGTTCCACTCTATTATGAGGGGCCTCTTCTTGCTGCCTGAACATCTCCATCCTGAAGAGGTTTGGATTATGTTGGTTTTGTCTTAAAACCTGACTTCAGGGGGCTGGGGATTTAGCTCAGCGGCATAAGGACCTGCCTTGCAAGCAGGCAGTCGTGAGTTCGATCCTCGGTACCGATAAAAACTAAAAAGACAAAAAAAAAAAAAACAAAAAAAAAACCTGACTTCATGTGGCCTTGTGCCTGCCAGTCACTGGGCAAACACATTTGTGCGTACAGTGTTGGTCCAGACCTCAGCTTCTCTGTTAGTGGGCTGAATGAGATGAATGCCGAACAGATTAAAGCAAAGCAAAATTATAAGCACTGGAAAGAGTGTCAGTGGCCATTTTCTCTCTCTCTTTTGGTAGGGAAGGTCAGATAGGTATTATTTCTCATAGTTATCACCTCTTCACCCAGGAGAAGAAATACCACCTGCAGGAGCGGGTTGACAAAGTCAAGAAGAAAGTAAAAGATGTGGAGGAAAAGTCCAAAGAATTTGTTCAGAAGGTGGAGGAAAAAAGCATTGACCTCATCCAGAAGTGGGAGGAGAAGTCCCGAGAATTCATTGGCAATTTCCTGGAAATGTTCGGTCCAGAAGGAGCACTGGTATGGTTCTTTCCCACTGGACAACTGAGGGAAATTCAGGGAAATTCAGGGAACCTCTGTGCTGAGGAAAGAATCACAGAATGCCTAAGTAGAAAGGCACACCGACATTAAGAAGCTACCTAACCTGTTCCCCTGTATGTGGGAGAACCATTCTGAGTACCCCCAAACGTTCTTTCAAAACCTTCCTGAAAGAAGTTACACATTTTCCTAAATAATCTTGCCAGCCTTTTTCCAACCTTACAGTCTGGTGACAGGATAAACTAGTAGCTTTTTCCATCGTACTTCTCCACAGTATGGTTTCGATGGAAAGAAAGGAGAGAATAAAGAACAGTGAAAAAAGCTGCCTTCGCTGCAGAGCCACTGTGGGATCCCAGGGGGGTGGGTCCCAGGCAGATCAGGTACGATCAGACCGTGGAGGTGTTGGCTATGGAATCTGTTTTTGGGGGAAGAATGTGGGATTTCATTTTCAGGGAACTAGAAAACTGGGTTAGCCAGGTATGGTGGCACATGTCTATAATCCTTGCACTCAGAAGGCTGAGGCCGTGAGCTCAAGGCCAGCCTGAAGTTAGGGAGACTTTGCCTCAAAAAAACAAAAACCAAAACAAAACAACAAAACCTGGCTAGAACCCGTTTCATCTGAAGTAGTTCCTTTGCGTTTTATCTGATGACTGTGGCTGCAGGTGGGAACCCCGGTGGCTGTGGGAGCAGGTGGGAAAGTAAATGGCACAGCATAACACTCTGCAGCAGTGGGATGTTAGTGCCACTGAAGGTGCTAAATGGTTTGCCATCGCTAGTGTAGAGCATTTTCCAGAGGAATCACTGAGAATCATAGCTGCGTTCCTCTGGTGGACTGGGCATGGCAGGGACTGGGACTTCAGCGCTGTAGAAGAGTTCCACTAGCAGCCTGAGGGCTGGGTCCCATCCCCAGCCCTGGCAACACAGAAACAGGAATCACAGGAGCACATGCTCTTTGAAGTCTCAGGTGTCCTGTGGTGACTTAGCTGGTCCTGAGGTGTCTGCTAACTTTTCCTTTTGGTCTCCCCAGAAACACATGCTGAAAGAGGGCAAAGGCCGGATGCTGCAGGCCATCAGCCCCAAGCAGAGCCCCAGCAGCAGCCCGACCCGGGAGCGCTCCCCCTCCCCCACCTTCCGCTGGCCCTTCTCCGGCAAGACGTCCCCCCCTTCCTCCCCAGCGGCTCTGTGTAGGCACAAGGCAGTGGCCTATGACATCAGTGAGGATGAAGAAGACTAACTTCCATCCTTTCCTCTGCTTCCCTACCCTGTCACCTTCAGAAGCTCTGTTGAGTTCACATTGTGATCCTAACACTAAGCCTAAGGACAGCTACAAAGGAAAGAACTTGGGGGCAAGAGGACCTAGGAATGGGGAACCAAACAGTCCACCCTTAAGCCACATCTGTCACCACACCAAGGAGGCCGGCTGCACCTTAGAAAAGCCTGTCTGCATTCCCCACCCCTGCCCCAAGGACTTTGCTTCACTGGTTCTGTTCATATGTTCTTGACAGGGAAATTGTCATTTTTATTAATTTTTTAAAAATAGTCTTTCAAATATAGTAAGTAGGACTAACTTTCTGCCCCTGAGGAGTGGGCAGGAGGAGGAGGCAGTGTCATACCCAGAGGCCTTTTCTTCCTCACACACTGTAGTGTCTGCCTCCACCCTGAAGCCCGAGCCCTGCTGAAGGGTGCTTCAGGGACGGTGTCATCTCGTGTCCTTAGAAACAGCCAAGAGTAACTCTGGCTGTGCTGCTGTTGGCGTGACCGTGGGAAGAGGACCTGAGCCAAACTTTTCCTACTCCCTGGGGAGTTTCTTGTTGACCCAGTGGGGTCCACGAAGATGCTGACGGGACGGATCCGGATCCGGACTGCGCGGCCTGAGCCGCAGCCTTCTCTTCTGTGTTCGTCTTCTCAGAACATTCTGTTGCCCAGTTATGTGGGAGCTCTTGTCAGTCTCTCTCCTGCAACCTGCCCTTAAAGGAAGGGACACTTTGCGGGTTATGGCGACCGGAAAGGGGAATGAGACAGAATCAATCCTGCACAAAGTCCCTTTAGATTCATCTGCTGGGAGTCTGGCTCTGGCCTCGCCACCACTTTCAGTGCCGTTAGCTTCTGGCAGTGTCACAGCTCAGACTTGGTCCCTTTATCCCTGTCGCTCATAGACACACAGAGTTTTGAGGTCAGATTAGAGGATCTCTTTCCATCTGAGGGCTGTGCCACAGGGCCCCAGTATGGACTCCTGTGCAGAGCGTGCAGCAGGCTTCCCTTCCCACCTGTGCTGCCACGCAGTCCCCTCCCTGCTTAGCTGCCCACCAGGAGCTCAGCATTTGAATTTCAGTCAAGAATGCCGATGCTTGCAAGGCACTTGGAATTGAGCTACTCTTGATTTCGAATCTCTCAGTATCCTGTCACCTCAGGCATGTGACTATCCAACATTGTATCAATGGACTGTAGAAAGTGTTCATGTCCAAGCTCCATCCCCTGTCACTCATAAATACCCCTTGCATCGGTAAATTTCCATGTTTTCAGCAAAGCAAACCACATTTTCTCTTTCACAGCCCCTGTGCTAGGACTGTGAGGATCTCAGAGCCCCCTCCCCGATGCTTTCTGGTCAGGCTGCTCTCCACCTTTGAAGCACGACTACCTAGGCTTAACTCAGAAGGCTAGGTGGGTGGCAGCTGGCAGAGGGCAGGGAATGGAACCGCCTTTCTAACTTGTCTCCTGAAGCATCCTTCATTTGGTCCGGTCTGGTTGCACCAGCCTTGGCCTAGAACCCGTCTCTGGAACAGCAGAAGTCAGTGCCTTTAACTGGGCATAGTGGCTCACACCTGTAATCCTAACAATGGAGAAAGAGACAGGAGGCGCATTGCAAGTTCTAGACCAGCCTGGGCTACAAACTGAGCCCAAGGCCAGCCTGAACTGCATCTCAAGACCCTGTCTCAAAAAGACCAAAAATAAAAAATAAAAAAGTCAATGTCTTCCCACGTACACAGCTTTGTATCCGCTGGTGTTCTAACTTTTCTGCTCCAGTGTTCCCTCTTAGGAATGCTGCCTGCTTCTCTCTGCCTTATTATTCCTGGGACTGAGAGCCAATGAAGTCGCTGACGAAACTTGCCTAAGGTTTGTTCTGGGCTCGCTCGTGCCACCTGGCTGCACCGTTGTGGAGGGAGCGACTCCTATAACCTGGTGGGTCTTTCTTTCCGCCCTGGTGCTCCAGTGCTGCCTGGCCTGCTTGTCTGCTCTTGGGCAGACCCTACGCTTGGCTCAGGGCCTTTAGGCTGACACAGTATGCGGCAGGGCTGGGGCTGGCTGGTGCATGTGTCCCCAGGAGGCTCCCTGCCCTTTGCCTGTCTTAGCTTCTCAATGTGGTACCTTCTTAGATGAACTCAGGCTGAAAGCAGAAGCTTTCACAGTGCAGTGGGTCAGGTGCTTTAGGGCAGTTTGTGCTGTGAGAATGATGCCCTCCCCTGAAGGTCATCTGTGCCCAGATAAGTGAGGACAGAGGTCTGTACCCTTTGGCCAGTGATTGTTTACATGTGAACGTTTGAAGCTGGAAGCTGCCACTTGGATGGGCCCCGCATTGCCGAGAGGCCGAGCCTTGGAAGCCACTCAGCCTTGGAGCCTCAGGTCACAGGACAGGAAGAGGCTGAAGATGGAGCCCTGGTGCTGGCACTGAGGAGGGGCCATCTCAGCGGTGACCTTTTCACACCCTGTACACAGGAGCACTGACGAACAGAGACTGAAACTTTAGAAAACAGACTGCTCACTCTGCTGCCTTGCTAAAGCCAAAGACCCTTTGCAGAAGCATGGTGAAAAGGTTGAGGATGTGAGGAGGTTAAAAATCCTAAAGGCAGCTGGGTATGGTGGCACTACCTGGAGTCCAGACCACAGGAGGCTGAAGCAGGAGGAGCATCATGAGGTTTAGGTCAGCCTCAATTACATAGACCCTATCTCAAGCCAAAAAAAATTCTAAAGGAGAGGACAAAATGTGAAGGAGATTGACTAAATTTGATTCTTGCTGATCATTTAGCAGCACCTGATTGATGGTGGCCCAGAGGTTGGTCAGGCAGTGCTAGGATGGCTCCAGTGTGTCAAAACTGTTTATCAATTACTGTCACTGGTGGGCACCTTTCTTCCTGGAGTTCATTGCCTTTTTCATCCTGTTCCATATTCCTCAAATCAATTCCATTTGCTGCTTTCCTTCCATTTCTAAAAGCCATAGCTTCGAGATTTGCTGTTGTCATATACTCACCAGAAGTGAACCAATACAGGGAAAGACATTTTTTTAAAGACTCCCTTCACAGTGTTTTACAGGCTAGTGGTGTTTTCAAGGCTTACCAATGTAATTATTTTTAAAGATTCTATTTTTGGCTCTTCTTGTTTTTTCTCATAGATTGTCATGGGCTCAAGAGTTGTCCCTAACCTCTATTTTTCCAAATAAGCAGAACTGTTCCTGGGAATTATATCATTAAATATCAATTGTCTTAGAAGAAAGATTTTTCTGTCTGCCAAAGTATTATGTTAACACCCAGAGTAGGGATTACACAGGATGACTCTGAGTGCATCCCTGTTTGGGGAGGCACTGACTATCAAATACCGGGAGGGCCTGGGTGAGTGTCTTGTGTGAAGGACCCTGCCCTCGAGGACACCAGTGTCAGAAGGAACCACCCGGGCACAGAGCTTGCCTGCCCCCAGGACAAGGCTGCAGGAACTTTGTCTCTGGTGGGTTCAAGAAAGTGTTGTTGGGGGACTGGGGATTTAGCTCAGCGGCATAAGCACCTGCTTGCAAGCAGGCGGTCAGTCATGAGTTCGATCCCCGGTACCGTTAAAAAAAAAAAAAAGTTTTTCCCATCTGTGATTCATTTGTTCAGTTATTTTGGCTTTTGTCACTTAGCCAAATAAAGGCACTGTGCTTCCACCTAGAGTCTTGGTTCCTGTGTTCTGTGCACGTGTATGTGTGTTCTGGCAGCTTTCCTTGAACTTGCAGTTCCTCTGCATTCACATCCTGATTTCTCTCCTCAGAACTAGCAGCAGGACCATATTATTAGACCCTTTTTTTTGCAGCTGGGTACACAAACTTGCAAAGCTAGTGGTTCCTGAAAGCAACCTCTGGCCCTCCCGGCCTGTCGTCATCAGTGCCCTAGTGACATGTTTGTAAGGGACACTGTGTGTGTCTTCCCCAAGCCTGTCTTCTTCCGGACCCTGAGTGAATGTGGTTTGGCCCAGCCAGAGTCTCCAGCTCCTACACTTCATACCACTGTCTGCTTCCCTCCTTCCACTTTGGGAAAGCAGTGACCTTTCAACCAACAAGCTGACAGGGCTGCTTGGGGACACCCACAGAAGCGGCATGCTCAGACTCTCAGACTTTGTCCCGTTTGTTTATTACAAAGTTTAAAATATCTTCCTGGGCAAGATCCAAAATAATTCCATCATCACAGTCTACCTTCCTATCTCCAGTCAATGGTTCTTGCCCGCTGGCCGCCAACGCCGTTGGTTGGGGCCAAGGAACTGTGGAACCTCGCATCCCGCAAGCACAGCAGCTCTGCACCATCCGGGCACCTCTCAGGCCACCGAGCTTGAGTCCAGCTCTGTGCAGCAGGTTCCATGCCCGGCCTTGTGGTCTTTTATTCGGTAGTACCTCCGTGTCAGCACCGTCAGCAGGAACATCTCAGGGACGAGGAAGTGGCAGTTCATCACTGAGAGAGGCGTGGGACAGGTCATGTGCCAGGCCATTGATGATACAGCCCCCTAGCAGTCTTGGCCACTGCGGCCAGCAGTGGTTCCTCTGTGCATCCCCATCTCCAAATGGCAGCAGATTTGCGGTGGAGTGAGAATCAGAATGTGGCTCCCTGCCCGCTGTGACCTGAGGTCAGTGTGGAGCCGTGCTTCCTAGGTGTATTCAGTCAGCTCCACCTGCTTCCCAGCCATCGCCTTCCCTCTGCAGGGAAGCCCTGCTTGGACCTCTTAGGCCCTACCTGACTCTGAGGACAGAGTTCAGGTCAGCCTGTTCCAAGGCCCGCTCCTCTGCCCCACCCTTGCCTCGGCCACAGACAGTGCTCACCCTGAGACCTGGTCTTGGAGGAGTAGGGAGGCGAGCAGGCAATCTGGCCACCATTGGCCAGGATGGAGAAGATGGCAGGCTGCAGCACAGTCAGGATGAGCATCATCTGCAGAATGAGGGAGACACTGCTGACCCTTGTCCCATGCTTCTGTCAGCCCACCCTGCAGCTTGTGGGATTACAGGGGGCTGGGATTCACACTTGATTGCAAATGTGTGGAGCTTAATATGTGGGCAGATTACAGACTTCTACCCAATATGTTACGAGAGTTGCTGGCAAGAAGCTGCTCCTACTCAACCATGGCCACCTTTGGGTGAGAAAAGCAAAGTGACTGGAGAAGAGACAGTCCATCTGGTCCAGGCCCTGACACATGGGCAGTTTTGTGATAACTCTTTGAAAACTGCCCTGCCAGGGGCCTGAGGGAAGGAGCAGCAGGCAGTTCATAATTTAGCAGGTGCAGACTTCCAGTTGGGGAAGACAAAGGAGCCCTCAACACAGATAGTGGTGATGAGTGCACACCGGTGTGAATATCCTCACTGCCACCCGACTGAACGCTTAAAACCATGGAGATGGCAAATTCTACAGTTATTTCACTACAGTGAGAGAAGATGAGCCAAGCATGGTAGTACATGCAGGAAATCACAGCATTCAGAAGGCTGAGATAGGAGGATCCCCATAAGTTTGAGGCCAACCTGGACTACACAGTGAATTGGTCAGGCTGAACTACATCATGAGACTGTCTCAAAACAAAAGACAAAAGCTGAAGACGGACAATGTGCTAGAAACTCACACCTGGGCGGCACCTGTGTAGGGCAGTGAGCGCATGTGTGAAGTCTGCTAAGCACACGGTGGTCAGGACGTTAGGCCTGAGAGTACGAGGTGCAAAGGGAGAGAAAGGGGTCGTGTCACTGTGCTCGGTGGAAAGGTCATCTTAGGGTAGAAGTGTAATGCCTAGGAGGCAGATGCGTGCGCCTTTGGTGGAATTTTCCCAAGAGGTGCAAAGGTGATGGACGAGGCAGTGTAATGAGAAGGAGCATCGTGGGCCCAGAGCTGGAACTGAGCTCACATTCTGGCCCTGGCCCTCATCTGCCTGTGAATGAGCCTCAGCGCATCTCTGGATCTGTTTCTCTCCCCCTCAACAGGGTAATGACTCCCACAACAATCATGGACATTTACAAAAATATATACCAAGTGCCTGGTGTCGCACAGGACAGTTCCTAACTGTGACTGTGGTAGTGTTAATGTTGGTGGTGTTAAGGAATTACAGAACTTGTGGCAGTAATAGGTAAAAAAAAAAAATGTTTGTTACTGTACACATTTTGAGCTGAACTGTACCCTGAAATGAGAGGTCAAGTTCTGTCCCTATTTAGACACAGACGTAATTAGTTGAGACTGAATTTACCATCTTAGTGGTTTTGAGTATTTTGGAATGGGATGGCCCCTCAGCCAGCAGGACTGGTGTCATAAAAGTAGAAGAGACAGACGCATGAGGGCAGCATCATGTGACTGTGGAGGCAGGGATGGAGTAAAGAGCAGCCACCACGGGACTGCACGGCTGGTGCCACCAGGAGGCGGGAGAGCAAGGCAGGACTCTCCCTCAGGCTTGTGAGGCACATGGCCCTGTACATGCTTTGATGCTGGATTTCTGGCCTCCTCTGTTGCTGGTCATCTGGTTTGTGCTATTTTGTTGTGGCAGCCCTAGAAACTGAAATATCATAGAAGGCCAAGAAGAAAGGAGAAGGGCAGAGATCATTTTGCCACTTTCCCAGGAAACCACAGTTTAGGGGAAGCTTGTCAGTCCTGCTTGACCCCTTGTTTTTGCCTCCTTGCCCCCGTTGACAGCAGTTTTGTTAGCAAACAGCTTTCCTTCCAGTGGTGTAGTTACCTGGAACAGAGAGAATTTAGCTCTCATGTTCTGCTCACTCAGGTGCAGCTTGGCCTGCCGGAAGAGGATGGCCAGGGCCCAGAGAGCCAGCAAGGTGGATACGCCCAGGGAACTGTTGATCCAGAGCGCAGTGCTCTTCTCGGAAATCTGGGGGCAGTGCAGGGGCAGTCAGGGAGCGAGCAGGCCCCGCTGACCTCACACTTCTCTCCTGTCTTGCGGGAAATGACCAGAAGGCCACAAAGCACTGGCGGGATTCCAGCCTTGTCTCTTCCTTGGAGTTCCTGGGCCTCGACTTTTCCACAGCCTCCTTGTCCCTGGGCTCCAGGGCTGCTGGTACCCACTGTCCCTTCGGGAGCCCAAAGGTACCCAGCAGTCTTGGCCTTTACCCCCCATCCCTTCAGGCTTACATCTGCTGGGTTGTAGATGCCATCGGGGATGAGGAAGAGGCCGACCAGGGCCATTGAGATCCTGAGGAAGCAGTACTGGAAGGGGCCCACCATCAGCAGCTGCAGCTTCTTCCTGAGGGGCGAGGGCTGCACATGGGCCCACACGCCCAGCCCAGGACGCCTCCCTGCTCCCCGGAGCCCTCACAGACCTCACAGCTCCATGGATGGGGCAGGAAACCGGGTAACCTTGCCCCTGTCCCCTCCGCCCAGCACCTGCCTTGGGTGGAACCAAGGAGCAATGACCTCCAGTCCATCGTCCCAGTGGGCAGAGCCATCTCCCTGGGTGTGGCTTCCTCTCCCCACTCCCACCCCCAGCTTTGCCTCACCTGGTGAGCTGCAAAGGGGGGCAGCAGGGGCAGCAGCAGCAGCAGGGCCCTGTGTGCGTCTGCATCGGGGTGTCCTTCAGCGTCTTCAGCACCATTTCCTTCCCCCCGAAACCTTCCACCATGATCAGCATGAGCAGGTAAAAGCACAGTGAGCAGTACCTGGGGCGGGGAGAGCAGGTCGCAGGTCCTGGGGGTGGGGGTGGGGGTGGGGCAGCTGAGGGAGCACCCCTTGGCCACCCTGGAGGAGAAGAGATTGGCGGGGTTGGAGGAGGTGGTCTAGTCTGTGAGCCAAGGGAAGAGAGAGAGAGGACTGGGGTAGAAGGAAGTTTGGGCTGTGGGTACAAAGAGGTGGCAGGAACATGGCCTAATAAGACAGGCCTTGGGCAGAACCGGAAGTTGAGGAGCCTGGGGTCAGCACAGGCGGAGGGCAAATTCGTGCTCAGCAGGACTAGGGGCCCGGAGGAGAAGCGGGGCAGCCAGAGACGGGGCGAGGCCGACACTCACGCCACGACGGACATGTCCACAAGGGTGAGCGAGCGAGGGATCCAGAGGCCGAAGCAGCACAACACCGACACCACCTGCATGTGGAGGAGCGGCCGCTTGGAGCCAGGGGCGGCGAGCGAGGAGCGGAGGCCGCCAGGGGGCGCCCTCCCGAGCAGCGGCCACAGCTTGGCTGGGTGCCCGGCCGGTGCCTAGCACCTGCGAGGCCAGCTGCGTCCCAGACCACAATACACAGTAACAACCAGAGGTTGCAGCCGGAAAAGTAAACGAGGAAACAAGCAAGCCAGGTGATGGTTATAGGAAAAAGTCGTTTCTTCATGTACTGTGCCACTCCTGTCCTACAGGGTGTTTTGTTTTGTTGTTGAGATGAGGGTCTCACTGTATAGTCCAGGCTGGCCTTAAACTCACCATGTAGCCCAGGCTGGCCTTGAACTCTGGGTGAGCTTCCTGCCTCAGCCTCCTGAGCGCTCAAATTGTCCACGTGTGCCCCAGTCTGCCTGCTCTATAGAAAGCGACTGCCGCCTTTTGCAGCGCTGCAGCGGCAGGGAGCGGGAGGGGCCAAGCCTCTGGGCTGAGCAGGTTCTCCAGCAGGTTCTCACAGCCTTGGATTTGGAGCTGCCTGCTGGCCGCCTCATTCCCAACCTCCTCCCTGACATTTCTGCGCCCTCGGCCCAGGTGGTTGTGGCAGGCCAACCTGGCAGACACAGTGTGGGGCATTTAGAGGCATTTGCAAGGCGGTCCTGCCTCCTTCCAGCCCCGGGGGCAGCTCTGGGCCTCACCGTGGGTGCAGAGCTCATCCACAGCAGAGTCCTGCGCTTGATGGTACAGCCTGTGTTCCTGTGCAGGTAGATGGCATTCTCCAGGAAGATGCCCACCGAGCCCAGGGCCAGGAGGGTCATGATGACTGTCAGGGATATTTCCAAGGGGCCCAGGACTGGAGTGGGAGGAGGTAGAAGCCAGTGAGTGGAGCCTGGAACCCAGATGTCCCTGCAGGCTATGTGACTTCAAAAAACTGGTTCCATGCCTTTCTCACAAAGGACTTTCAGAAGCCAGGCCTCATGGCACATGCCTGTCCCATAATTCCAGGACTCAGGAGGCTGAGGCAGGAGGATTGCCATGAATTCAAGGTCTGCCTGGGCTCCACAGTGAGTTCAAGGCCAGCCTGGACTATATGGCGAGACCTTGTCCCAAAAAAACACAAAAATAAAATGATCATAGACATACATATAAAACCTACCATACATCAAAATAATTCCAGATGTAGTAAAGAGCTGTCTTTGAAAATCAAATAGGGAAATTGGAAAAAAAGAATTGTATGTTCACTGAAACACTGGAGAGGGAAAACCCATTGAAGCACCAGAGTAATCCTGAAGTTTACAAAGAGCAGTCAAATTCAATACCAAAAGTTCCAATTCCTAAATGTTGCTTTAAAAATTGACAATAAAAATAGGAGGATTTTGCAGAGAAATCTGTAAATAATATTAACCTAGGGACTGAGGATTTAGCTCTGTGGCTCAAGTGCTTGCCTGGTAAGTGCAAGGTCATTAGTTCCAACCTGGTACCAAAATAATATAATAATAATAACCTAGCTCAAAGTACATGAGTGCAGTGAGAGAAAGTAAAATAATGTATTCTTTTTAGACCAAGTGTGGTGGTGCACTCTTGTAATCCCAATATTCAGGAGGCTGAGGCAGGAAGATCATTGCAAATTTAAGACCATCTGGATACAAAAGTGAGCCCAAGGCCAGCCTGAACCACATAGTGAGACAAGGTCTAAAAAAGAAAGAAAGAAAAGAAAAGGGGCTGGGAATTTAGCTCAGCGGCATAAGTGCCTGCCTTGCAAGTGTGTGGTTGTGAGTTCGATCCCCAGTACTGATAAAAAGGAAAAAGACAAAAAAACATGCCCAATGAGACAGGAAATATTAAATAAATCACCCAATAAAGTAGTATATAAGCATGAAAAATATAAGCATACCATAAAAAAACCTTTGCCACAAATATGTAATAGTTTTTTTTTTGTTTTTTTTTTTTTTTTTTGTACCTGGGATTGAACTCACAACTACGCACTTCCAAGGCAGGTGCTTATGCCGCTGAGCTAAATCCCTGGCCCCAGGTAATAGTTTTTAAAAATTTTTTTGTAACAATATTTAAAAAATATTAGCAGGCTCATGCATATTTGTTCATTTGATTTATGACAAAGGTGTTCACAAAAGTTTGGCAGTGTTTTTAAAACTAAACCTTTACCCACCCTGTGACACAGCAACTGCATTCCCAGCTGTGTGCCTCATAGAATCAAGTAGATAAAATCCCCGCAGGAATGGCCCCCAAGGCGTAATACAGCCTGGTCACCCAAGGAGTAGCCTGCAAGCTCCCCAAGGAAAGTACAGGCAAGTGCACGATGGTGCACTCCACGGAGAAGTCTCACGCAGTGATGAGAAAGAAAAATCACATAGACGTAGCACAACAGACACCCGAAGAGACCAGGCGACAGCTGAAAGGAGCCAGGGCCTGTACTTCCACGTTCTCTTCAAGTTGGGGGTGTGGAAGTTGGTCCATGCGGTGGTGGATGGTCCATCCTGGGCCAGGGGATGCCAGAGAGGGCTACAAGAAACTCTGCTGCTGCTCAAAGGATTTATATCTTCATCTGTGTGATGGTTTATAGATTTTTTATAGGCAAAAATTAAATTGTACACTAAAGATCATTGTCTACTGTTGTAAGTAATATGTGGCAATAAAGTTATTAGACAAAGCTGAACGCAAAATTAATACAATGATGCTTAAAGGGTTTGATTGGAGAGAAAGGGACAGAAAGCTAAAAGACATAATAGGCCACTGTCTTTATTATTTCTTTTTCTTTGAGACAGGGTCTTGTGATATAGTTCAGGCTGGCCTTGAACTCACTTGGTATCCCAGGCTGGCCTTAACTCGTGGTGATCCTCCTGTCTCAGCCTCCCAAGTACTGCAATTACAAGTGTGTGCCACCACACTCCACTAACACGTCCATTCTTGCACATTTGTTTCCTGGAGGCTTAGTATAGGCCGTGACCAGGTGTGGTGGTGCCTGCCTGTAATCCCAGCACTCAGGAAGCTGAGACTGGAGGGTCACTGTGAGTCTGAGTTCAGGGCCAGCCTGAACTACTTAGCAAGGTGCTGTCACAAAATGATGACAACAGCAAAAATCAGAATAGCTCTTTTCTGAACAGTGACTTAAGAAATAATGATTTAAGAAACCGTGGCAGTCACAAATGAGGCGAGGCGTTTCACTGCGCCCTCCGTCCTCCGCTTCCCTTCCTGAGTCGCGGCCGGCCGGCCCATCCTGTGTCCTCCTCTGCACTCCCAGCTCCCAGCCCCTCTCTGGTCCGCCTTCCTCTCTCCCTTCCTGCTGGGCCAGGCCTCCTCTCCCTGTGGCAGGGGGCAATGACCTCTCACTGACCTCCCCTTTTCTCCAGGCCCCACCACCCAGGTTACTGATTAATGTCCCCCTGCGCTGCCCAGCCCAGCCCAGCCGCCTCCACCCACCGGAGGATAAAGTACAAGTACACCACCACCTTGAACCTGGCCAGACCTAGCTCCTCTGTGTCTTGTTTTGTCACTGTCACTGCCCCTGCAGTGCCTGCACAGGCTTGCCAACCCTGGGCCCCACCTGCCAGACCTAGAATGGTCCCCTAGTCTGATCACGCTTGGGGCTTCCTGTTGCACAATTTTATGCAAAGCAATGGGAGAGCTATTTCACTGTCAGGCGAAGTTACTTTTTCTTGTTGTGGGGGACGGATGGCCCTGGGTGCCATAGGAGACCCAGCAGCCTCTTAGCACACCAGGTGCTAGTGGCAACGTGTGGTGTGGCAACTCAGACTGTCACCTGATGTTGCCCAATGTCCCTTGGACTGAGAGACACCAGTCACCTGTGGAGCAGGGGACACCAGAGCTGGGTAGAGCAGCCCCTGGTGGCACCAACTGGCAGCTCAGGGGACCTGGCAGGTGGCAGCATGCACGTGGCCCGGGGCGGCCACGCCCACGCCCCATGTACCTGACAGCACCTCACCTGAGGGGCTCTAGCAGGCGCAGGTGGTGCCCCAGTGGGAAACAGGCAGCCCTGCTCCGTAGCTCAGAGGCTGGGGTCCAGGAGCAGGGAAATGTGCACGCGAGGCATTTGCTAGCAACACAGCGCCTGCGGTCTTTCTCTGTGCAGAGAATGAACTGAGTCCCATGTTATGCCTTTCACTTTGAAGGGCAACTCTGCCACAAGGTGGCCAAGTCATTGCTCACAACAGCCACTGCTGTGGGATGCTGTGGGCCCTTTCCCAGCAGGGTGTGTTTTGGATTTTGGTTGGTTTGTTTGAGACAGGCTCTGGCTATGTGGTTCAGGCTGGCCTTGAATTCAAGGTAATCCTCCTGCTTCAGCCTCCAGAGTGCTGGGAATATAGGCCAGACAACCCTGGCGGACTTGAATCATTTGGGGAGTTGACTTTAGCCAAGACAGATGGAAGGCCAGCTGCCCCCAGGCTTGGGGACACTATTCCCCAGTTCCCAGCTGTCCTGACTTCCATGTGGGGCGCACAGCTCCTCCTTTCCCCTCCTCCTAGGGACCCTCCCTGCTATCGGGTGGGGAGACTCACCTTGCAGGAGCTGGGCTGCTGTAAGAGCATATGAGAAGCAGGCAGTTGGGACACTGTAGTTGGTTCTCAGCACTTCCAGGAGCTCCGCTGTGTACCTGGAGAGATGGGACCTGAGTTCCAAATCATGGGACTGCGAAGTTGGTGACTGAATCCAGGCCTCTGCACTAGGATACATCCACAGCTCTTATTTTGAAGCAGGCTTTCACTAAGTCACTAAACAACCCAACCTGGGCTTGAACTAGAGAGCCTCCTGCCTCAGCCTCCTGCGTGCTGGCATTATAGGCATGTGCCACTACACCCAGCTGGGTCCTGCTTCTTAGGGTGGAGAACCAAGCCAGGCAGGAGTATAAGATGAGCTGCCAGTTGCTGGGCAAGCCTGGGTACAGTATTTAAAGAACTCCCATTTTACCACCTCAGGGCAGAGCCATGAGCTGGCCAAACAGAAGGATAGAGGTCCCAGGAAAGAGTTGCCCTGCACACAAGGGATGGCCCTGATGGCCCTGATGGCCAGGGCTCTGTGAGATTCTTGGAACCCTTCTACAGACTTTTCTTTAGGATTTTTCTTCTTTTTTTGACAGGGTCTCACCATGTAGCCTAGACTGGCTTCAGATTCACAGTGATCCTCCTGCCTCAGTCTCCCCAGTGCTGGGATTACAGGCTTGCACCACCACGCCTGGCTTTTCTGGGATTTTTCTCTTCCTAGCCTGTACGGCACAGCCAAAGTCTCAAGGGGGTCCCAGGCTAGTCCATGCCAGGTTCCCTGAAGGTCCATGGCACTGCTGGTCCACTCTGCCTGGTCTCTTCTGAGTGCTGAGAGCCAAAGGATAGAGAGACAGGGAGGGACAGCCTAGTGTGATAGGGGCCACTGTTGCTTAGCAACGGGCTGCCCACATAGGGCCTCCTGCCCTCACTTACCTGGGGTCAAGTTGTAGCTGAGTCCTGCCTGGTTCCATCTTCTGCTGTCTCTCAGGCAGGAAGGGTGGGTGTGTGGGGGCACTGAGGGGTGGCTCCCGCCGGGTTCTGCAGGCTGCTGGTCTTTTCTGGAGGACCAAGCTGGGGCAGGATCAGTGACAGATCGTCTCCTCTGGCCCTCTCCCTTCTTGGGCCTCCTGAGTCAACCTGTGTCTTTAGAGTTCACACTGGAGGAATTTGATCTTCAGGGCGCCTAGTGCTGGCTCCTCCCCGTCCTCAGGCGTGATCCCTGCAGCCTCTCTGGGATGAAGGCCTTGGACACCTGGCCCCAGCCCACCCCCTTCTGCATCCTCTTTCACAGACCCAAGACAGCTCCTCCTGCCCGGCCAGTCAGGGACAAAGTCCCCCTCCACCCCACACATCTGATCAGGAGGACACCCCTGGAGGGGGAGGCTGGTCCCAGGCCTGGCTGCCCCTGCTGCCATGGGCTGCAGTGCAGAGGGAAGACCCTGCCCTGCCTGCTGGGTGGGTGATATACTGAGTTCAAGCCAGTTTACACTACAAAATGAGACCCTGTCTAAAAGACGACCAAACAAACAAAAAAATGTCTTCAACGCTCCAGAGCCTGACCTGTCTATACCCCATGGCCTGTAACCTGGTTTCCTAAACTCACTTGCCCCCAGTTTCCTTATCACTCAAATGAAAATGAAGATGTGTGTCCTTTAAGAGCGTGGTTGTGGTGGGGGATAAGGAGCATGCTATACTTCCCATAGCACCCGGGACTGTGTGGCTAAGTAGGCATGAGCTGGACATGATGGTGCACACCCGGAATACCAGCGCTCTGGTGAGAAAACCTGCTGAGGGCAGGAGAATCTCTGTGAGTTCGAGGTCAGCCTGGGATACACAGTGAGACCCTGCCTTGCTGTGACTATTACTCTGTCAGTTAAACAGCTAACACCTAAGGAGCACTTGGTATGTGCCAGGCTCCTGCTGGGAACCGAGGGGTAAGAGACGCTGGTCCCAGCAATCAAGTAGTTCATAACACAGAACTTGGCAGTTTTTAAAAAATCTGTCAGGGCTGGGGATTTAGCGCAGCGGCATAAGCGCCTGCCTCGCAAGCAGGCGGTCGTGAGTTCGATCCCTGGTACCGATAAAAAGGAAAAAGACAAAAAAATAAAAAATCTGTCAGAACATTCAGAGATCTCACTGTGCACTTCTGAAAGATGTGACTTCCTCCTGGCTGTGACTTCCGGTCCAGATGTTTGCCCAGATGTGCCCGAGGCCCAGGCTGGCCTCGAACTCACTGTGGTACTCCTCAGAGGCCTCAGCCCCTCCAGTGCCGGGATTCCAGGCCTGTACCACCATGCCCAGCTTGGGGACCATGTTAGATGGGAGAAGTTCCCCAGCAGGGTGGGAGAGCAGGTCTTGGGGAGGCAGACTCGGGAGAGGAACCCCAGACCCCCAGCACCTCAGAAGAGCTCTCAAGGAGGGCAGGGTCCCCAGTTTTGCCTTCCTCCTGAAACACAGTTCTCGCTGGGGGCAGGACACCGTGGTAACCTGAAGGTCTCAAGTCATCAGTCACCACCTGAGGCATGGAAGGAAGCAGGGCATTGAGCTCTGGGCAATGACCCAGCCCCACCCTGACCAAGGCGCATGCTGACTCAACCTCCTGCAGCTGTGTCTCCCCGAACATTCCCGGGTCATTCATTTTGCCTTGGCAGGAGGCCTTGAACTCAAAACCCTTGAACCTTAGACTTCCCTGGAGCAGATAACAGGGTGACTGGTAATGCCCCTAACTTCCTCAGGACAGGGTTGAGAGCCGGAGGGACAGTGGCTGGGCCAAGACGGGTGCTGGCGGCAGAGCAGGGTCACTCGAGGCAGACAGGGTGCCCTCGGGACGGGCAGCTGCTGAGGGTGGAGAGGGCACACCTGTGTCCTAGGCACAGCCCCGTCCTAGGCAGCTACTTTCTGTCCTGAGTGGCTTAGCCCAGGGCCGTCCAAGTCCAGGCCAGCTTCCACCTGGCCCCCAAGGCTTCACCTAAGAGGCAGAGAGGACAGGTGGACAGAATGGGTTCCTCTCTCCCCAGGCCTGAGCGTTCAGCCCAGTACTGACTTTCAGAACCAAGAAGAATAAATCCTTTTCCCTCTCCTGTCTTTCTGGGAGGGGGTAATGTTTGTTACAAATTTGTATAATAATATCATACAATATTATTATTTCCATTTTGGCTTTCTCTGAAAAACAGTCCTTTCTGAAAAATTATAACCAAAGCAGGGTTTCTGCAATTTTCCACAAGACTCTTCAACTATTTGAGACTTAAGGACTCCCCTTTATTAAAAAAAATTTTTTTTGAGATGGTCTTGCTATATAGCTCAGGCTGGCTTTAAATTTATTACTTACCCCAGGCTGGTCTCAAACTCAAAGCAATCCTCCTGCCATGAGTGCGGGGATTACAGGAGTGTGCCACAATGGCCAGCTATTTCTCTTTTAGATTTTTTCTTATTAAGGTAAAATTTACCATTGTAGCCATCTAAAATGTACAAATCAAGCTGGGTGCATCAATGTACACCTATAATCCTAACACTCAGGAGGCTGAGGCAGAAGGATCTCTGCAAGTTCAAGACCAGCCTACACTACATAGTGAAACCCTGTCTCTAAAAATAAAACAAGACAGTCCAGTAGTTTTTAGTGTTTGTATATTCACAGTGTTGGCGCTGGAGATGCAGCTCAGTGACAGGGCTCAGTGACAGGGCTCTTGCTATGTCACATGCAAGGACCTGGGTTTGATCCCCAGGACTAGAGAAAGTAAAATAAAATTGAAAAATCAGGTTGCACAATGTTGTGGTATGTCACCATTATCCTTGTTGTGGAAGTTTCTATTGCTCTAGAAAAGAAACCCCAAGACTCCAAACTCACTCCACCCTGCCTCCCCTCCTTGGTCCCTGTGGATTCGGTGGCTCTGGACTTCCTGCGGAAGGAACCGAGTGGGATATCTATCAGCCGGTGAGCTGGGTTCCTAGTGCACAGTCGCCCTGCACAGTGGAGCCCCAGAGGTCATGGAAGGGGAATGAAGTCCCTGGCACGGGCATGCTGAACGGCGGGAGCCCCTCTGCAGCCCTGTGCCCGGGGCCATGAGCCTCTGCCATCCAGTGACCTGTCCTTCCGTTATCAGTGTCGCAGTGTATTCACTGGGACTGCTGGTGGAACTGGGAAAATGGCCACATTCGCCAAAGCAGGTCTGAAGCAGACCGAGGCCATCTAAAGGCCCCACTGGGATCCACTTGAGAAGTCACCCGGCAGATGCAGAGGTCCCAGCATCAGATTGCCTGTGCCTCCCATCGTGCCTGCACTGGGGGCACCAATTATGTTCCACCAAAGTAAGACATAACCCCCAAAATAATCAGCCTTGAAAATTAGAGAGCAAAAATGCCAGCACTGGTGCACTGCAATTTAGGTTCCTGCATAATGAAAGATATGGGTCTGGTTTTGGTCTTCAGCATGTAGAAAGCCAATTTTTCCAGCATCATTAAAGTCTTTTTTCTTTTTTTTTTTCTTTTTTCTTTTTATCGATACCAGGGATTAAGTCTTTTTTCTAGTGAAGGTGTTTGACTCCTTTATCAAAGAGAAGGTGGCTGAGTATTTTTGGAGGTGTTTCTGCACCCTGTGATCTGTTCCACTGATCTTTGGGTTGTTTTTTTGCCAGTTCCATGCTGTTTTTAATCACAGTAGCTTTGTAGTATAATTTCAAGTCAGAGATTGTGATGCATCCTGCCTTGCCTTTGTTGCCCAGAATTGCCTTTCTGATTGCCTTTTGGTTCCCAGTGAATTTTAGGATTGCTTTCTCTGATTCTGCGAGATATATTATCGGTATTTTGATCAAGATTTCATTAAATGTGCATAACAGTTTTGGAAATATGGCCATTTTCATTATACTGGCTCTTACCCAAGAACAAAGGATATGTTTCCATTTTGTGATATCTTCTTCCACCCCCCTTTTCATCATACTGTAGTTTAAATGCAATAGTATTTTACTTCCTTCATTAGATTGATTCCTAGGTGTGTGTTTCTTTTATTTTTTGGATGCTATTGCATCAGGTAAATGTGATAACCACTACACTACAGATACAGCTGGATTCTATTGAGAAAGGTGTTGTTTCCCTAGTTTCTTTCTCAGTGAGTTTATTTGTATTATAGGAGACCTACTGATTTTTGAGTGTTAACTGTATTGTTACTCTACTGAATTTGGTTATTAAGTCTAGAAGTCTTATGTTGGAGTTTTGGGATCTTCTGTGTAAGAGTACCACATCATTTGCAAATAATGACAATTTAACTTCTTTCTTTCTTATCGTTATTCCTTTTATTTTTATCTCTTGTCTAATTGCTCTGGCTAATATTTCCAGAACTATACTGAATAAGAGTGGGACAGTGGGGCTGGTGATATAGTGGCACAGTGCCTGCCTGGCAAGCACAAGGTGGTGTGAGTTCCAGCCCCGGTACCAAAAAAAAAAAAGAGTTGGTGACGGTGAACTTTCTTGTCTTGTTCCTGATTTTAGAATGAGAGGTTCAGTGTTTTTTCCATTTAGTCCGATGTTGGCTTGCATGGCGATGGTGGCTTTTATCAGCTTGAGATAAAGACCACTTATTCCAGTTTTCTGTAGGGTTTTTATTATGAGTGGGTGTTGGACTGTGTCAAACACTTTTTTTGCATCTGAGATAATTGTATGGTTTTTGTCCTGGGCTCTGTTAATATGGTGTATTACATTTATTGATTTGCATACACTGAACCATCCCTGCATCCTGGGATGAATTCTTACTTGGTCACGGTGTATAATTTTCTTGATGATTTGCTGCGTTCTGTTTGCCAGTATTTTATTTAGCATTTTTGTGTCTATGTTGATTAGGGAGTTTGGCCTATAATTCTCTTTTTGGTTGGATCCTTCTCTGGTTTAGGTGTGAAAGTAATGCTTGCTTCCAAAGATGAATTTAGGAATATTGTTTCCCTTTCAATTTCATGAAGAGTTTGAGAAGTAGAAGTATTTGGTGGTCTCTAAATTTCTTATAGAATTTAGCAGCAAATTAGTCAGGGCCTGGGCTTTTCTTTGTTGTAGGTTTTAAATTATATCTCAAATTTTGACTGATACTGGTTTATTTAGAATTTTTATATCTTCTTGATTCAGCTTTGATAATTCATACGTGTCTAGAAATCTGTCCATTTCTCCAGTATTTTCCATGTTCTTAGAATACAAGTTTTTGAAGTATGTATAGATTATCTGGATTTCTGCAGGATCTGCTGTGATTTCACCCATTTATTCCTAATTGCATGGATTTGAGTTTTTCTCTCCTTGTCTTGATAAAGTTGGCAAAAGATTTTTGAATTTTATTTAATCTTACAAAGAGCCAACTCTTTGATTCATTGATTTTTTGTATTGTCTTCTTAGTCTCCATTGCAATGATTTATTTATAATTTCCTCCCTCATATGAGCTTTTGTTGGGCTTGACTTTTGTTCTTTTTTTAGAAACCTGAAGTTCAACATTAATTTGTTTGAGTGTACTCTGATTTTTCTTTTTTTGTTGTTGTTCTTTTTCCTTTCTTTTTTCTTTTCTTTTTTTTTTTTTTTTTTGAGACAGGGTTTCACTATGTAGTTCATGCTGGCCTTAAACTCATAGAGATCCTCATGCCTCTGCCTCCCAAGTACTGAGATGTGGGGGATGAGGAGTCACTTTGAAGGCCCTGGACCCCTGGGGACCTGCAGTAAACAATAGCCCCCAGTATGCGAGACAGAGGCGGGACAGGAATGCCTGTTCTCAGTGGGGATGTTCCCCCCTCTGAACCCATGCTGTGTGACTTGGCTTTGTTTACAGAGTCATGAGGAAGTGGCCGACCACCATAGTGACACTAGAAACAAACATAATTAACAACATTCTTAGGCTAATAAAATTCCTCCTGGGCTAGAGGGGCTAGAAGAACTGATGTTGCTTAACTTAGGTAGTTTAGATAAACATTGTAGTCTGTCACATTGTAGCTTGTCACAAAAAATGCTTTTTCACTAGTTAATCGTCTGTGCTCTGTAAATTGATCCAGTTTACTATATAAGAATCCTGGAATAAAGACTGTGCGTGCAGTGTAGTGCGGTAAAGTTGCAATTGCCGTGTTTCTCTTTCTTTTCCTGGCGCTGCACCCCCGTGTCCTGACTTGGTGTGTGTGTGCCTCTTCCCGGGGTTCAGAGTACTCTAGACACTCCTGACAAGTGGCGCCCGAATCAGGGACCCCGAAGGTCGTTTAGGAGAGGTGAGTATATATATTTTTACTACGGGGAAATGGGACAATCTGTTTCTTCTCCTTTCTTAAAAATTTTTAAACATTTACTATCTATGTATGGCATATCGCTCAGGTCAGCTGACTTGGATATGTGTATTCATACAATTAAAGAATATAATCCTTGGTTTCCGGATGAAGGAACTTTGGATGTAGAATTATGGAGGAGAGCGAGAGTTAATATAGAGAAGGCTATGCAACAGGATGAGAAAATTCCTTTACGTTTTTGGGCTATTTGGTCGGTTGTGTACTCTTTATTAAAAGCTATGGAAGATGAACATATTGTAGAAAATCTCCAACTAGAAATTAAACTGGTTATTCAGGAATTACCCCTCACAGAGGAGGAGCAAACTGTAGTCCAAAATGACACTATCGCTTTAACTAGTGAAAAGGCGTCCAAACCAAAAGTAGAACTCGCCGCAGCAATGTCAACTTCTGACGATCGCCCACTTTTACAGGCTGTACAACGCCTAACACGGGTGGTAGAACAGCTTTCCGTTAAGCAGAGCCTGCCTATATCTCCCTCCGCACCTCCCCCATCTAACCCTGACTGGAAGAAGGCTAAACTAGCTTTGGCCGATATACCAAAAATAGGGGATCCTGATGAGGAAACGTCTGCCTTTGCTTTTCCTGTTATTAGGCCACAACCTGTAGATGGAGTGGCACCTCCCCCTAGATGGGAAGGATTTAATATGGATGATTTAGCAAAATTAAAAAAGGCCGTAACCCTTTATGGCCCTCAAGCTCATTATACTAGAGAGATATTATTAGCGGTGTCAGAGCATTATAGAAATTTTGCTCCTCATGAATGGCAAACGTTATACTCTAAGAAAATGGCTTCATTATATGTGTATTATAACAAACCTGTAAAATGGCTTACTAAATATGTTTGTTTTACCTTTTTTCCCTAACTGATATGTTAAGTGACCTAATTGATATGTTGAACAACACTCTCCTCTGTAAAGAATTACAAAAATCTCACCTAATTGATATGTTAACCATTGTAGCCCTCGTGCATTAACAGCAAAAACAGAGCAGGAATTACAGTTTGTAGAACAACGAATTAAGGATGCATTTTTAATTAGGATTGATCCTCAATTGCCTCTAACTTTATATATTATTAATACTTTTCAATATCCCTCTACAGTTTTGGGTCAGAATGCTATGCCAGTAGAATGGGTTTTTGCTAAGACTAAACAATCTAAAAATGTTATGCCTTATATTGATATGGTTGCCTCTTTAATTATGAATGGTAGAGCTTGTTCTATAACTTTGATAGGAAAAGATATAAATAATATAGTTATCCCCTTAACTAAGGAACAATGGGAATATTTGTTATCAATTACTGAAACCTTACAAATTGCCTTAGCAGATTTCATGGGAACCTTTTTGATAGAGTTATTTCCAAAAAATGAAAAATATTAACAAAAGATGAGAAATATAAAATAAAAAGCGGCCTTTATTCTGAGAACATGGAGAGAGATGACTGGCAACCCCACCCCTGGCGTCCGGCGATCTCTCCTGTGGACACGTGGCGTGGGGGCCTGTAAATAGCCTCGGTTTGGGGTGGAACCTAAGGCGGGCATTAGGGATGCACAGGTAGCCCATTGGTCCTAGGTTTGGCGCCATATGTAAATTCCCAGGGGCGGGAAGATGGCGTCACAGGTAACTTCCTAGGGGCAGGGCAAGATGGGGCTTCCTGCTTCCGGTTGTGGCTTTCCTGGCTACAGTGTCCTGTCTGGGCCAAACCTTTCATATCCCGTCTTATGATTATTATTATGAAAAGGGGCGAAGATTTCTCTCTTTAACTACTTCCTGCTGGCAAAGGGCGCTGTACTGGAGCCTAGGGGAGTTGACGGGATGAAGGTTGATGCCCAGGTAGACGCTGGTGCCAGGTGTTTTGGCCAGGACAACTTCACTGGTGAATGCACGTATGTCAGACTGGAAAAACAAAGAGACAAAATGTTATGAGGAGACATGGCACTGTCATATTTAAGGACCCAGGTGAGGTAGAAGGAAAGGTGCCTTTGATTTAGACATATCATTCTATCAGGACCATGTTGAGGTAGAAGCATTTCCACAGTAAGGCAGAATTCTGAAAATTAAACGTAAAAGTTAAGATGGTAGGTTGGTGAGGCTTGTCTCTGGTATGCATGATGTTGGAGTCTGTAGGCAATACTGTTAAAGAGTCCTGCTGTAAAAATGATCATTAATAGAATGTAAGAAATTAGGAACCAAAATGGATAACAAAACATGACTTAGCCTGTTAACTGTGGCTGCGAGGCCTTTGTGAGACGGAGACGGGTAGGCGACAGAAGATGAGATGACCACTCAGAATGATCAGATTTAGGGCTGGAAGGGCACCTCTTAGCCTGAGCAATGTGAAACCAGGATGGCAGTCCGGCAACTTTGATTTAGGCATGGGTCGCTGTAACCTGGTTGTAGTCCTTGGAATGATTTGCTGTAACAGAACTTTAGCAAGTATGAGAAAGGCTTTTATGTATCCTGAAAAAGTATAAACCAAGTGAGAAGACTGGGACCTGCACAAAATAGGCCCTGTTTGTAAATGGCATAGGTTGACCATCAATACCCTGTCATAGAGATTGAGGACTTAATATAGCAGCCTGAATACTCAGGAAGACCTCTGTATATATGGCCTCTATGTCCACAAATATAGAGAATGTCTTACCTGAGAGTTTTGTGCGACTTGAAATCTGAGACAGACACCTTAAAGGGGGCTGTTGTTGCCCTGAACCCCCTCAGCCTCCAGCAGCGATTTTCTGTTGGTGACGAATCTGGCAGTGTTGACATTTCCTGTGAGGGCTATTACTTAGCATGACTTACCCACTCTCTGGTGGCTAGGACAGTCCAGTAGCCCTGGAGTAAGGTCTCAAAGAATGCCAGGATGGGGCATTTTCTTGCCCAGTATCTTCTGCTGCATTTGAGCGTGGTCCATGGTGGGGCCAGGCAGCTCCACCTTGTGTAAGTTTACCTGTCTCAGAACTCCAAGTGTCACAAGTGTTAAAAATATGAAAAACCATATTAAGATCTCTCTAAGGTTTGAAGGTCAAGTTTTGCCTTTTTATTTGGGATTTGGACTACAGTAGAATTAAGTAAGTATGTAGGAATTTAATATTGGCATTTTAGATTAGAGAGCAGGCTTTATCTGGATGGCACATCGCTTTTTTTATAGGGTGACACGTAGAATTAACAAAGCTTTAGTCTGCCAAACAAGGCTTTAATGGAAACATTTTTCAGTAAAGGTTTAGCAATCTTATGAATAAATCTATCAAAACTGATCTAATACTGTCAAATTCTGAACACATTTACTTTTAAAGTTGTTATTTGCAGTAGTATGAACCAAGACAAATAAAATAAAACTTTGAAGAAAACCCTTGTCTTGAAATAGAGCTAGTGGTTCCCAGCAAAAAGGAATTTATAACCTTAGTTGTAAAACAGGAGATTGGTGAAGGCTTTGATTGATAAACAAGGCTGGTAAAATTATCAGGTGGCCAAAAACCTTGATTAAATGGTTTGAGAATTGTAATAAAAAAGCATCTTTTGAGCGGAGCCAAATTGTAAAAAAGCATGGCTGAGCAGAGCCACTGAGCTGCTGTTTCGCGGCACTCCGGCAGAGCACGCCCAGTGGGTGGGGCAAGCGCTGGGATGTAGCGCGCAGGGGCGGGCTCAGACTGCCCCCGGAAACGTGTAAGGTGGCGGCGGCAACGAGGATGGCGCACAGGGGAGGGAGGGGCTGGGACGGCGCATGGGGGAGGGGCTGGGAGGCGGCCCGACACAGTGCGCGAAGCTGGAACTGCTTGCAGGGCACGAGGATTAGAAAGCCAATTTAGGAACATAGCTGGGTTTTGATTAGCCTCCTGGACCTGTTTTAAAAGTTTGTTATAGTTAGTATGCTTGTCCTGCTCTGGCACAGCTATAGGCCTAGAGTCATTACCAGCGGTGTTTACCTCATGTCTGTGATCAGCTTTTTCTCGAACTGCTTGCCACAGCTGATTCCGTTCTTGTGAGATGAGAGAGGTATCTAGAATCACATAAACATCCTTAAAATGTAAATCATAACAATTAGTAATGAATTTAAATTGCCTGATATAATTCTGTGGGTCAACAGAAAAGCTACCTAATTTATGGGCAATCTGGGATAGATCAGAAAGGGAAAAAGGCACATGGATGTTAACAAGTTCCTCGGGGCCAGCTTGCTCCCGAAGCGGTAGCAGAGCCAGAGGAGATTCCAGAGCAGAGGGCTTTTGAGCAGCTATCCTTCCAGTAGGCGCATGTGAGCAATCATCTGTAGAGCGGCTACAGAGCTGCTGCCGGTCACCCTGGGAAACACGAGCAGATGGCATCTCACTGTGTGCCTTGCAGCTAGAGGACTGCTGTCGGCAGCACAATGAAGTGTCATGAGCACTGCAACAGGGCGGCTGTTGCAGTTCACAAGAGGAGCCACAAGGAGACGCCTGTTGACAGTGAGGGTCCTGGAAACATGGCGGCGCCCTGTCATGTGACCTGAAACATGGCGGCGCCCAGTCGCCATGTGGCCCTCCTGAACATGGCGACTGTTCCCCACGCAAGCTGGAACAATCACGCGACCTGCTGGAAGGACACAGAAACGGAGACCTAGTATGGTGGGCGGGTGGTGAGAATGCTGTAGGGGATACAGAATTCTCAGGAGAAGTCAGAGACCAAGAGGAAGCACTAACAGAGGGATCAGAGCCGCTGGGAGAGTTATGGGTCCCGGAAGGCAGAGAGGGAGAGGATCGCACAGCGGGAGGTATCTGCAATGGAGAGGGATTAGAGCTGCTGAGAGAATCAGGCATAGGGGGAGGGGAGAGCGGTCCGGCGGGAGGTAATGGCAGGGAACGAGTTTGGTGGTAGGCAGGCGGTGGCTGGGAAAACAACGGAGGGCAGGATGGAAAAGTTTGCGGCGCAGTAGACTTAGCTAAAAGTATCTCAGCTGGAGCACAAGACTTAATGAGAGATGGGCGTGTTCTCAGAATAAGAAAGGCTTGGACATAAGGGAGTTCTAATAACTTGTTGCCAGCTTGACAAAAATCGTACAAGTTCCTGAGTATGCAGGGGTCAAATGTTCCTTTTTTGGGCCAAGGCTTGCCCATAAGCAGGTAGGTTGGCCAGACCTCCTGGCAGTAAAAAGTTAGTTGTTTAGTTTTTATGGTACCTTTAATTTTTAGAGTACATAAATTGGAAATTAGGCATCGTAAAGGCGTCTTTTGGGAGTTAGAAAATACGTTCCCCATGACTGAGTCAGGCAAGAAAAAAACCGGAGGTCCAGAACAAGTCGTCACTTATTTGTGGTACCACGCGGCGGCTACGGTTCCAAAAACTCGTAAACTCCAGTCGTCACTGAGAGATTTACGAATGGAGTCTACGTGGGGTCAGTAACAGTTTTGCCCGTGAAAGCGCAAGGCTTTAAGGGAAGTGAGGGTCTTTCAGTGTGGGCGGTCCCAAAGATCCCTGCTTTGGGCTATCCGAACCCAAAGAACGTGAGAGATTTTGTGGACACAGGTTTGCCCAGAAAGAACCCTGCCCTGGGCGGTCCTAAGGACGTGAAAATGCACAGACCCACGCAGACGGGGAGAACATTCCACTGGGGCTGCCCAGTGCGAAAAGTTCCCGGGGAGTGCTCACCTGAAATCAGTCTGGCCCATGCGGAGTGCAGGCGGCTGGCGACAGGAACGTCTTGGGAGAGGAAAAAGCTCGGGATTAATCCAGGATGTTATCTGGTTATCGGCTAGAAGACTTTGGGTATGTGGCCCAAGAGTCAGTTGCCTGCCGATCGAGTCACGGCACCAAATGATAGAGTTATTTCCAAAAGATGAAAAATATTAACAAAAGATGAGAAATATAAAATAAAAAGCGGCCTTTATTCTGAGAACACGGAGAGAGATGACCGGCAACCCCACCGCTGGCGTCCGGCGATCTCTCCTGCGGACACGTGGCGTGGGGGCCTGTAAATAGCCTCGGTTTGGGGTGGAACCTAAGGCGGGCATTAGGGATACACAGGTAGCCCATTGGTCCTAGGTTTGGCGCCATATGTAAATTCCCAGGGGTGGGAAGATGGCGTCACAGGTAACTTCCTGGGGGCAGGGCAAGATGGGGCTTCCTGCTTCCGGTTGTGGTTTCCTGGCTACAGTGTCCTGTCTGGGCCAAACCTTTCACTTTTCATATCATTTTCCTAAAAGTAAATTATGGGACTTTTTTAGACATCAACAATTTGCGGTTAATACTTTATTAGCTATACAACCAATTCCACAAGCTTTGACTATATTTACAGATGGATCTAAAAATAAAACTGCATATTAGACTCAAAAATCTTATTGGGTACGTCAGACAAATTTTAATTCTGTACAACAAAATGAACTTTTTGCTATATTGCAAGTGTTTTTAGATTTTCCTGACCAACCTATTAATATTATAGCTGATTCAGCCTATTCTGTTGGAGTAGTGACAAATATCTATTCAGCTGTGTTATATTCTAATAAACCTACTTTATTGTCTTTATTTCAAAAATTACAAATACATGTTCAAAAAAGAAATCATTCTTATTTTATTACTCATTTACGTTCTCATTCTCAGTTACCTGGACCATTAGTATCAGGTAATAGAGCAGTAGATTCTTTAGTTATGTTTACTACACCAAATTTAATCATGCTAATGCCGGACATTTACATTTTAAATATAAGATACCCTTTACAAAAGCTAAACAAATTGTAAAAGCCTGCCCTATTTGCAGGCCATTACACTTAAGAATTACCCCCTCAGGTGTTAATCCTAGAGGAACTCAACCTAATGAGTTATGGCAAATGGATGTTACACATGTGCCTTCTTTTGGCCGGCTTTCTTATGTGCATGTAATTATTGATACTTATTCTTCATTTCTATGGGCTACTGCCCAACAGGGAGAATCCACTAAAAATGTTATTATACATTTATTGGAGACTTTTGCAGTTATGGGAATTCCCTCTAAAATCAAAACAGATAATGGACCCGCTTATACTAACAGAACATTTAAACAATTTTGTGATCTCCATAATATCATTCATGTTACAAGGATTAAATATAATCCCCAGGGTCAAGCTATTGTTAAAAGAGCACATGGCACTCTTAAGTTGCAAATTAAAAAATTAAAAAGGAGGAGACAGGAGGATATTCAGATACCAATACTGTTTAAATTGCAAAACAGTCCAAAAACATTGCTGCATCAGGTACTGTTTATTTTAAATTTTCTCAATTTACCACAAGGTGAAATATTAACAAGGGCTGAAAGACATTTCGAACAGCAGCAACAACCATATGTGATTAATGAGCCTATTTGGACTAAAACAGCCCCAGAGGCAGAATGGGAGAAGGGGACATTGCTCTATAAGGGGAGAGGTTTTGGTTATATCTCCACAGAACATGGAATTCAACAATGGGTCCCTGGACGACGGATCAAGATCTGCGCCTCGAGGCCCTCTTCGCCAATCCTGGAGACAACTCCCTGAGGAACCGTATCCTCCGAAGCGAGCTCAAAACCAGCTAGAGGATGAAGATAATGAACCTGTCCCTGTTGCCGCCATGGCCAGATTACAGCTAAGAAATTCCCACCGCCATTCACGGCGACCAAATTAAACCCTCTCCCTACATGGAGACAAATAAAGAAATTGACCCAACAAGGGCAATGGCTTGTCCTTCAAACAGGGAAGCCTTTAAACCCTGAAAATTTGTTTTTAGCTTTATGTGCCTTGCTCACCATTGCATCGGGGACTGAGGTACCCCAACATTCTTATTGGGCTTATATTCCAAATCCCCCTTTACTGGAACCTGTAGTATGGGGAACTATTGATATTTCACTATATACAACACCAAGAGAAATTTTGTCAGCACTGTGGGCTGATTTAACCCCCCATAATCAGGATGATGGAACATTATTCAATTTTACTTATTATGGCAATCAAAGGCCTATTTGCATTGGGGAACCGCCTTGCATCCCTCTGGGATGGCAGTATTGGATTCAACATGGAATAAAAGCAGGCAACAAAAGGACAAGGCTTCAAGCCTTGGCTGCTCAAACTTTTAATGTTGCCTGGAAAAATTTAACAGTGCCTGATAAAAACACATATCCTGTATGCCCTGATTTCACTTATAATAATATTTCTTATAATCCCATAATTTGGCAACAGTGTATGGGGAAGTTTGCTAAAAATATTGATGGATATATTATTTGGGGACCATTTGGAAAATTTGTTAATGGATGTGCTGAATGGAATGAGACAAGATGTAATCTCTCTGTTATATATAGTCTTCCAGATCCAAAGAACATAACTGACGGGGCTCCTGTCTTCCCTCAAAAGACGCATCTCCTGTGGTGGGGAGACGGTGGAATCGCCAATGCTGCTGTCGCAGCCAAAGAGTACCCTCATAATCTCCAAAATCACATTTGGAAGATTCCAGCCGCTATGTAACCTGTAACCTTGTACAATGTTTCCTATTCAGGAACTAGTCAATCTGTATCTACTACTTATAATTTTACTAAGTTTAAGATATATAATATTACCTCTGCCTTATGTCTTTTTAGTGGGAACTTTTAATTTTACACATTTTTCTTGTACTTGTTTAAATTGTCAATTGTTTACCTGTTTAAATAGCACATTAAATTTCACTAAGCCTTATACAGTTATGCTGTTACAACAAAAAACTCATATTTGGTTACCTGTAAATCTAACTCGACCATGGTCTCAAGACCCAATAATTTCTGTCACTACTAAATTTTTTCAACATCTGTTAAAATGTACAAAAAGATTTATTGGAATAGTGGTCGCTATATTGTTAAGTCTGATAACTGTGGCATCTTTAGCAGCAGTCTCAAAAATAGCTTTACAAACCTCTTTGCAAGAAAAACATGTTGTAGAACAATGGCATGAGAATTCTCATAAACTTTGGTTAACCCAATGGCAAATAAATGCTAAACTACAGCAGCAAATAGACCTTCTTAAACCAACAGTTGAATAGATGGGAAGAAAAATATTGGCTCTTCAGCATGAAGTGTTTTTAAAATGTGTTTGGAATTCAACTACTTTCTGTATAACACAACGACCATATAATCAAACAAAACATGAATGGGAAATGATTAAAATGTATCTAAATAGAAATACTTGTGCCCAAGAGAAAATAAAATCTTTGCATAATCAAATTGACAAAGATTTTGCAAAGCATAATGATGATGAATCTCTGGCGAATCTCTGGCAAAGTTTGCTCAATTGCTTGCTCATTCCTTGGAAGGGCTGGACCCTAAAGGAATTTGGCAAAGCTTTACCCACACTTTAAGCGGCATGGGACTTAGCTTGATTATAGCTCTCATTGCCATAGTTCTTGTGTATTTTTACTGCATAAGACGTAATGCTACAATAATCTGGTCTTATGGAAATTGTTCTTAAAAAATAAAAAGGAAGGAAGTGTGGGGGATGAGGAGTCACTTTGAAGGCCCTGGCCCCCTCGGGACCTGCAGTAAACAATAGCCCCCAGTATGCGAGACAGAGGCGGGACAGGAATGCCTGTTCTCAGTGGGGATCTTCTCACCCTCTGAACCCATGCTGTGTGACTTGGCTTTGTTTACAGAGTCATGAGGAAGTGGCCGACCACCATAGTGACACTAGAAACAAACATAATTAACAACATTCTTAGGCTAATGAAGTTCCTCCTGGGCTGGAGGGGCTAAAAAAACTGATGTTGCTTAACTTAGGTAGTTTAGGTAAACATTGTAGTCTGTCACATTGTAGCTTGTCACAAAAAATGCTTTTTCACTAGTTAATCGTCTGTGCTCTGTAAATTGATCCGGTTTACTATATAAGAATCCTGGAATAAAGACTGTGCGTGCAGTGCAGTGCGGTAAAGTTGCAATTGCCGTGTTTCTCTTTCTTTTCCTGGCGCTGCACCCCCGTGTCCCGACTTGGTGTGTGTGTGCCTCTTCCCGGGGTTCAGAGTGCTCTAAACACTCCGGACACTGAGATTACAGGCGTGCACCACCACGCCCAGCTCCCATATTAGATTAGATATCAATCTAATATGGGAATTTACCATTATAAATTTCCCTCATAGGACTGGTTTCATTGTGTCCCATAAGTTCTGGGATGTTGTATGAGCAACACCATTTAATTATTGAAACTAACTAATTTTATCTATGACCTATTGATTTTTCAGCAGCGTGTCATTTAATTTTCATGCATTTATAAAATTTTGTGGCCCAGGTACCGATAAAAATGAAAAAGACAAAAAAAATTTTTTTGTGGTTTATTTTGCCATTGATTTCCAATTTCATTGCTCAATGATCTGATTATATGCATGGAATTATTTCAATTCCCTTGTATTTACTAAAGCATGTTCTATGAGCTAGCATTTTATCTTTTTGAGACAGGATTTCTCTATGTAGTTCAAACTGGTCTTGAACTCACAGAAATACTCTTGCTTCAGCCTTCTGAGTGCTGGGATTACTGGCATGTGCAACCAGATCAGGGATTTAGCTCAGTGGCATAAGCGCCTACCTTGCAAGCAGGCAGTCCTGAGTTCGATCCCCAGTACCGATAAAAAGGAAAAAGAAAATTTAACACCAAATATCTGGATCCAAAATTAGAAAAGTTTTTTCTTTACTGTTCACTACTCTGCTGTCTTCCTGAAACCCTGCATGGTTTTGCTGTCAGCCACAAAATCCCCTTGTATACTTGAAGCAACCAACAGGTCCATGAGGGACCCATTTTGCTGCTTGCCCAGAAGAAAGATTCAACCTGATAGGGACCCTCCAATTCCACATGGGGTGAGAGGATGGCGATGAGGACCTCTGTGTGACTTGTATGGAACTTGACCACCATCTTGGCTGGCATCTTCCCCAGAGCCCAGGGTGGCTCATTGAAATGAATACACAGGACTTTCCATTCCATGCTATGCATGGAGACGTGAGCAGACACAAAGGACACATAACTAGGAGTGAGTTCTGTACTGGATCTAGCTAAGGATTGATCACCACAGACCCAGTGGCACTGGTGTGGGGCAGATTCTCTCCTCTTTGACTATAACTTTTCCCTAGCAGGGATGGGGAAAGCTATAGCCACAGAGTTGGCTGTGCAGGACATTTTGGTTATAAAGGGCACAGTGATAGAATGAGACAAGACTGATACCCACAACTTAAAAGAAGAGGTTTATTAGGGGCTGGGGATTTAGCTCAGTGGCATAAGCGCCTGCTTTGCAAGCAGGCAGTTGTGAGTTCAATCCCTGGTACCGATAAAAACAAAAAAGACAAAAAGAGAGAGAGAGAGGTTTATTTTAGCTTAGATTACAGTTTTTGCATGATCAGTGGGCTCCAGGCCAGATGACGTGGCAGAGGGGCTGTAGAGGAAGCTGTGCACATGATGGAGCCAGGAAGCGGAGAGGGAAGAGGGGAGCCAGAGGAGGGGGCTCCTCCAGGTTACACTCCATCCCCGAACAGCACATTTTGTTACAGCACATTCGTGATTCAGTCACCATTCAAAAGCCCTGCCCATGAACACATGATGCCTTGGGAGGGGGATCTATACATAAACCATGACCAGATCCCATCAGCACCCAAGCCCTCTATATAAAATGTCCTACATCTCCACCCCTTAAAAGTTCCAACCCCCACAGCGCTGCACACTGAGGACCATGCCCCAAGCATATGTCCTGATACACAGATACACTTGAGTCAGTCTCCAATGTAGCAGTGGTCTCCAGCATCCCTTGGGGGTGGGGAAGATATTGCTAGCGGAAGTCACCCCACTCCTCAGCCTCTGTGACCTCACACTGAGGCTTCTTCTCTTCTATCCTGGGCTGTGGCTTCTGAAGCTGCTGTCACCATGGAACTCTGAAAGCCATGGGGGGAGGAGGAGGAGCTTGGAGCCTTTGATTTCCCCAGTGGCACAGGAGGACTAGCTGTGCCAAGCCGGGCAGATCCTAAAGGATGTCATGTCCCATATGAAAGGTCCTCAGTCTCCGCCTCTCACCCCAGTTTCCTGGTTCCTCCCAAGCCTGTTCCCTGCCTTCAATGGAGTCCTACTGGTGGTTTTCAGTGGCCTCTTCTTTGCATTCCCGTGAGTCTTCTGCATAAATTGTTAGATTTCCTACAGGAAGAAACAGATAACCAGAGTAAAGAGGCAGAGTGGGGGGGGAGGGGCAAAGGTCAGGGAAAGAGGATATGCTAGTTACAGGGAACAAACCGGGAGGGGGGACTCTAGAGGGCTGGGGCATCTGGGCAGCTGCAGGTGGCTGCTAATGCTGCTAGTGACATCTGGTGGCACCCCTGGAGTCTGTCCCTTGGCTGGAGATTTAGAGCTGGCTTGAGGGTCTGCAAATGGGCCCAGGCAAGGCAGGCCTGGGGTAGGAGGCAGAGCTCTGGGTCAGCCCGACTCCCAACTGAGGCTGATCCGGTCTCAGTTGCAGGTGGCTGGCTCAGAACGGAGAATGGGCCGTTCCCGCAGTCACAGGCCCCCTCTTCCTCCTCACCTTCTTCAGTCTCATCTCACTCAACTTCTTAGACCCTGGCACCTTACATCAAGGTGAGGCCTCAGGCCCCAAGGAGGCAGAGGTGGCACCCTAAGGGCTGGGTACTGCAGGGATGATGTCGGAAGTGCTTCCCTGACCACCAGCCCCAAGACCCTCCTTCTATGCTGTGGGTCTGTCCCCAGGTGGCAGAGTGAGGGAGGGGGTCTCTCTCCAAGCCAGGCTCCCCGGAAGAGGACCCCATGATAGTCCACGTGGTGTGGGTGAACTACAAGGCCTTCCGCCTGCGGTGGTGCCCAAGGTGCTGTTTCCACCGCCCGCCTCGGACCCACCACTGCTCCTGGTGCAACATCTGTGTGGAGGTGAGCATCCCTTGCCTGCCCACCTGCTGACCTCTCACCCACATCTGGCCGGGAACTCTACACTGGGTGGGGCCCAGACTGCCAAAGGCCAAGGATTCACACCTTTGGATTCTGGCCTGCACTGTCCTAAGGCCTGCACTGGTACCCACAAGCACTGCGCAAACACGTTTGCACTCCCTGTCCCAACTGCTCCAACAACTGAGATGCCTTCGCCAGGGCTTTTGTGACTCAGTTTCTTCCCAGGTGGAAGCCAGTGCGTGAAGAGCAGGTGGCCTAGCGGGAGGTCTTGGGAAGCTCAGGATTTAGGGACAGGTCCTCACGTTATGTCCCTGCTGCCTGTCACCCCCCAGGACTTTGACCACCACTGCAAATGGGTTAATAACTGTATTGGTCACCGCAACTTCCGCTTCTTCATGCTGCTCATCGTGTCCCTGTGCCTCTACTCTGGCGCTCTGCTGGTCACCTCCCTACTGTTCCTGGCGCGCACCAGCCACCTGCCCTTCAACCTGGACAAGGCCATGGCGTATCCACATTGGCCCAGGGACCGCATGAGTCGCGGGGCGGAGCTAAGGGAGAAGCTGCTTAGGCTCAGTGCAAGCCAAAGTGGGTAAGGTCAGGTGACAGATGGGACAGGAGGGAGTAGAGGGCTAACGGGTGGGGTAAGGACACCAGGAAAGGGTCGGATGAGGCGACAGCGTGGTAAACTTAGCGTGGGTGGGCGGGACTCAGAATGGAGCACAGGGACTGGTTGGACAGGGCTGGATGGGGCGTGGCTAGGATGGAGTTATAAAGGGAGAGGCGGAGCCAAAGTGAACCTGGCTAGCCAGAATGCTACTGGGCGGGGTTTAAATTTGTTGGGCGTGGCTAGGGTGGACAGGGGTTAGATGCCCAAGCATAGGCGGTTTGGCCAGGGTGGCACTAGTCCCGGGCTGGGGAGAGGCGAGGATTGGGGGGCGTGGCTGGGTGGTCCGGAGCCCGGATGCTGGAGGACCTGTGACAGAGTGGGGGGCCCACAGAGGACGACCTCATTCTTGGACTCCTTAGCAGCTCGCTCGCTCACAGCCTACTGGTGGCGATCCCCGCTGCCGGCTTTCTGGCTCCGTTCTTGGTGCTGCTGGTGAGCCAGGTCCTCTTGGTGAGCACGGCTGAGCGCTCCTACGAGGGCCAGGTATGCGGAGCAAGTGGGGCGCCCAGGTCTGTGTCCCATCCAGGCGGGACGTGAAGGCGGGTGAGGGGTGGCGGGAAGTGGGGCAGGCACGATGTCGCCCTTGGGTGGGCCAGGTTAAAAAAGCCCAGATATCAGGTGTGGTGTCACACACCTTTAATCCCAGCATTTAAGAGATTGAAGCAGGAGGATGGTTGAGAGTTTGAGATCAGCCTGGGCTACAAAATTAGCTCAAGGCCAGTTTGAAATGCATAGTGAACTGGGCGTGGCGGCTCAAATCTGTAATCCCAGCACCCAGGGGAGGCTGAGGTGGGAGGATCCTTGCGAATTCGAGACTAGCCTGAGCTACAAAGTGAGCTCAAGGCCAGCCTGAACTGCATAACGAGACCCTGCCTCAAATAAATAAATAAATAAAGTTAAATAAATAAATAAATAAAGTAGGGGCTGAGGATTTAGCTCAGCGGCATAAGTGCCTGCCTTGCAAGCGGGCAGTCGTGAGTTCCATCCCCAGTATCAAGAAACAAGAAAAAGACCCCCCCCCAAATGCATAGTGAGACCCTGTCTAAAAAAGAAAGGAAATAAAAAGCCCAGATATCAAAAGTGGTATTTAGCCTTGATGGGGGGAACTGGCTTCAGGGTAGGATTTCCTGAAAGGAGTACTGAGGAATAATTCAGCTGCAGTAGCAAGCAGAAACACCAAAAACAAAAAACACAGGATTTGGAGACAGATTTAGTTATACCCCCGGGCCCTGACGGGAGCACTCCCACGTCTCAGGCCTTGACCTGTGGTAGTCGAGGGCTAACGTGGAATAAGCAGGCGGGCAGTACAAGGCAGCATGGCTTGTGCATTGAGGACTGGTTCATACAGTGTGCATCACAGAGACCGAAGAGGGAGAGACAACGGGGTCTGGAACAGGAGCTGTTTATTACCTAGGCAGCGAAGAAACCGGCATATTCTGACTAGGGTGGGGTACCAACAGTAGGATTCAGCCTTTGTCAATGCACAACTGGGAATTTTGACAAATGGATGCTGTCCTGTGGCCATCACCACGATGAAGGGTCAGAACAGTTGCACTGTCCCAGGAAACTGGTGGGCTTTCTAGTCAGTTTCCTCTGTGGCTTCTTGGGGCCACTCACCTGTGCTCCCTCCTTGCCATTTTTCTTTTTCCAGAACCTCAAGCCAGGTTCTTTCAGTAGTACCAAGCGTTAGGGATCGGGCTGCCTTGAGCACACATTGTGGTTCATTCCCTTTTGCTTGCTATGTAGAGTTGCATTATGTCCCAGAATGCTGGGCTTGCAGGTGTGTGCCTCAGTGCCTGGCTCGGTTTCTCATTGCTGTTTTCTAATGAATAACGTTGTTGAGGGTCTTTTCCTGTTCTTATTTGCCATCCGTGAGTGTCTGGTGAGTCTGTTCCAATCTTTTGCCCAGTTTTTAAAAATCTGGTGTGTGTGCTTTATAGCATTTTAAGAGTTCTGTATGCTTTCTGAATTCAAATGTGTTTTGTAAGTATTTTCTCAAACTTTGTGAATTTTCGTTTTTTTGTCTTCACAGTTCATTCCAAAGAGCAGATTTTTTTTTTTTTTTTTTTTTTGTCTTTTCCATTTTTATCAGTACCGGGGATCGAACTCACGACCGCATACTTGCAAGGCAGGCGCTTATGCAGCTGAGCTAAATCCCCAGCCCCAAGCAGATGTTTTTGATGAAGCACTATTTATCTGTTTTGTTTTGTTTTGTTTGGGGGACCAGGCTACTGTTGTGTAGTGGAGCCTTCAACTTGGTATGTCACCCAGGCTGGTCTTGATCCTTCTGCCTCAGCCTCCCTAGTCCTAGGGTTACAGTTCTGCACCAACAGGCCTGGTCTGTACCACCACTCTTGGGGTCCATTTTTTTTTTTTTAAACAGGGCCCCACTATACAGCTCAGGCTAGCCTTAAACTCACTGTGTAGTCCGGAATAGCCTTTGAACTTGCTGTGATTCTCCTGCCTCAGCCTGCAGAGTGCTGGGGTGACAGGCGTGCAACACCACACCTGGCAGAAAATATAGCAGATTTTCACACATTGGTCTTGGACCTGCAGTTTTGCTTTCTTGCTTATTAGGTCTAAAATCTTTTTGTTACTTCTCTATGAAAAATCAGATCTGGAGATAAGGTTTCATTTCTTCCTTTTTATCTGTGTGACTTTTTCTTTCTCTCCTTCCTCCGTTTTTTTTGGTTTTTTGATATGTAGCCCAGACTGGTCTCAAACTTGAGGTGACCCCGCTGCCTTAGCCTCCCGAGTGCTGGGACTATAGGTGTGGGCCACCATGCTTGGCTTTCATTTAAGAATTTTTCTATATTTTATATACAGCCCACATTTTTCTATACTTCATACGTATCTAAGAAATCCAAATTTAGTCTCTTAAATTTAAAAATTCTGTAACTGTCATTGAGCTGTTGTAAATACTTCCTCTGAACCTCAGACGAGACCCGCTTTCCTCTCCAATGCTGTAAGGTCTCCTCCTCCGGCACGATGGCTCAGGTCCTTTTTCCGGCCACGGTGGGAAATCTGGAGCTGCCTGGCCAGTCTGGTTCCTTGGACGAGGGTGGTGTTGAAGACCCACCTTCCTTCTGGGCATGGGTATCGAGTGTTGGGGTAGCAGAGGGGTTTCTCTTTGTGACCTGACATTTGCCAGCAAGGGCTCTTGAATCCAGCTGAGGCTGAGACTGGGAGATATGAGGGCTTGAGAAAGCACAAACTGAAGTGGGAAGCCTGAGCCTCAGCTTCCTTGGCAAGATCTGACCTTGACTGCCTTCAGCCCAGATTTTTTTGGGCCATGTGCTTTTTGGTTGGAAAAGTGTGACTGGCCCCCAGTGCCCTTCCAGAGAGTGAAATCCAGGAAAATGTTTCTTAGGAGGGAAAATATCAGAGATTTGACTTGAATCCCAGGATTCAGGACACTGAGGCAGGAGGATTGCTGGAAATTTGAGGCCAGTCTAAGTTACAGAACCTCTCTAGACCCTGTCTTAAAACAGACATGCTGGGCATGGAGGTGCACACTTGTAATCCCAGCACTAATGAGGCTGAGGCCGGAAGACTGGAGCTTGCGGCCACCCTGGGCTAGGGCTACACAGAGAACTCAAGGCCAGGCTGACCTACATGCATAATGAGAACCTATCTCAAAGAAAAAAATTCAAAACAAAAAAGAGATGAGAGATGAGAAAATGGGGCGCAGAGGTGGGATAGGACTGTCTTTGGGGTGGTTGAGTAGCAGAGGGAAGATCTGGGACAAGGTGGCTTCGGGAGGATCTGCAGATGTGCTACTGGCCAGTGGGGACAGAAAGGGCAAGGACGCCCCAAAGGAGGGGTGGGATAACGGGTCCCTAAGAAGGCCAGGGAGGTGGCTGTATGCCACTGGGCGAGCCACCCAGGAGGCCGGAGGCTGCAGTTGGGGTGCCTAGCCTCTGTCCCCCGACTCTGGCTGCAGCCCTGGCGAGGGTCCCTGGGGTTCCAGCTTGTCATCCCCTCTGGCTCCCCTCCAGCACAGAGACCTTCATGTATACAACTCCTTCAACCAGGGCTGCACCAGGAACTGGTACCTGACCCTCTGCGCACCGCTGGGACCACAGTGAGTGTGCAAACCAGCACCCCGGGAGCAGCCAGGCTGGCAGGGTTTGAGAAGCTGAGCCCCCTCGCACCTCAGCTCACAGGCCCTGCCCCTCACTCTTCTCTCCCTCTCCAGGGCACTGGGAGAGCCCTTACCTCAAACAGTGGGGTACAGGAGCTGTGTGCCCCCAAAGCCGAGACAGGGACACTTGCGTTGGCCTCTCCCCCTAGGTACATGTCTGATGCTGTCTGGCTGCAGAGACCAGTGGGGCCCGAGAGGGTGCCAACACTTGCCCCCAACCTCCCGCCATGCCCTTGTGCTCACTGTCACCCGCCCCGCCCAGGGACGCCGCCCCAGCCTGTGGGCCACTGCCCAGGGAAAGGGCCTCTGGGGGGCGGGGAGGCTGGCTCTCTCCAGGAGGTGAGAACTGGGCTGCCCTGAGACTGGGGTGTTGAGGGGGACCCTGGAATGAGGTGCTCAGTGCTGGGGGGGGGCAGGAATGCAGACCTTGGGTGGGGAGAGGGAAAGGGGTCACAGCCGTCTAGCGCATGCCCAGGAGTCCTAGAGACAGCAAGAGAAAGACAACACTGAGGCTAGCTTTGTGCTTTGAGGGGGTTCCTTTATTTTAAGGAAGTTTTTTGGGAGGGTGTCACACTGGGGATTAACTCAGGGCTTTCTAACTGAGCTACACTCCCAGGCTTTTAAAAATTGTTTTAAATTTTTAAATTTGAAACAAGGTCTCACTATGTACCTCAGGCTGACTTTGAGTTCACAAACTTACAGTAATCTTCCTGCCTCAGCTTCCTGAGTGCTGGGATTACAGGCTTGTGCCAACATGCCCAGCTAGGAGATTCTTGGTGAGGTTTCATATGAGACATGTCAAGCAGAGCATTAGGGGATGGGGGATGGGCATGGTGGTCCACACCTATAATCCCACTTGTCAGGAGGTTGAGGCAGGAGGATCACTGAGTTTGAGGCCAGCCTGACCTCAAAGCAAGACTTTGCCCCGCACACACATAAAAGGAGCCCCAGCCCTGGACTGAGTCCTGTAGTGCCAGCCTCTCCTTTGCTCTGCCCGAAGGCAGCGGATTGGCTGTGTGCCGTGGGACACTCGTTCCCACTCTGTCTAGCTGCCCACCGGCCCTGCGTGACCCTGGATGCAGGAGACCCCTGGACCAGCCTCAGCCTCCCAATCTCCCTTCCGTCCCCAGCAGAGCCAGGAGCACCTATACCCACTCGTCACCAACCAGAGCCCGGGCAGAGGCTTTGTGTCCGCCTCGCCCACTCTCCTGGCGGGAGGGCCGAGGCCACCCTATTTGTCATTAAATTAATACCTTTCATGGGTCTCAGTGCCCTGCTGTGTTTCTATCCTAGATATCAGGGTCTTGGGGCAGGGACAGATTGTCGGGCTGGACAAAGTCCAGGGATCCCCAGAAGCCTGAGCTCCAGCTCAGCACTGGCTGGATCTGTGAGCTTGGGCAAGATGCTTAATGTTTCTCCCATCTGTAAAATGGTGCAGCAGTGTCAGGCCTGGGGGCGCATGCCTGTTATCCTAGCACTTGGAGACTGAGGCAGGAGGATCACCTAGTTCAAGGCCAGCCTGGGCTACCTACGTCTCAGCCCTGCAGCACCCTTGTCTGACTTCAGGGGGCGCCAGCTGCCTGGGAACTGGGGAGCCCAGCCGTCGGCCCAGAGACTGAGGAGGAGTGCTCCGGACAGTGCAGCCCTGCATCCTCTGTTCCCTTCTCACCCTGACCCTGCCTCCTGCTGGTTCTGATCCTGTCCCTAGGTTGAGTCCAGGCTCTGGCACACAGTGAACAGAGTCGTGGATTGCAGTCGTGTGGGTTGTGATTATTTCCCCCTGCGCACAGCTGACCACTGTTTGGGAATTGTGGGGCGGGAATCCCGGGGTGGGTGGGGGTGAGGAGGCCTGAGTGATTACCAAGGGTCTCAGATCATTGCTTCTACCACCCTTGTGTCCAGTGGACTCACAGCACCGAAGAACGTCACCATAGCGGGTGTGTACATGCCTGTGTGGTCCCAGACTCAGCTCTGCCAGGCAGGAAGAGAGGACCCCAGGGGCCTTCCTCTGGTGGTCTAGGCCTGACGCCTGGGCCTGGTCCCCGGGCCAGCGCCTGGATGTGAAGCGCATGGTAGGGAGCTGCACCCCTGGAGAAGGCCCAGGGCACCGGGCACTGAGGGGGCTGGGCCAGTCTGTCCCTGCCCCCGTCACAGGAGGGCTCTGTCCTCGGCCAGTTGGGGGTTTTCTCCCGTGATTCCCGGGGCCTCAGTTTTCCCACTGGCCCAGCACATGATCTCAGAAGACAGTGACTTCCTGCTCAGGGGTGGGGATTCCGTGTGCCCCTGTTCCCCCCCAGCGCAGGGATTTTAGGGTTTCTTTTGGACAGACAGTCCTCAGGCTGCAGCTCATCCTTTCTGGGGACCTTTCCCCAGCCTCCCTAGGTCTTGGATGTCCTTCTGCCCCTTTCCTGCATGTCTGGAGCCCCAGTAGAGGCCCCCATGCTCCCTCCCCATTTCTGAGAACCTGCTTTGGATTCTAGCTGTGCCCCACCCATGTCTTGAGGTTTGGATAAGGTAGGGCTGTTATCAGGGTGCTTGGTGGTCTGTCACTCTCTCCTGGCCCTGGACCAGAGCTACAGGTTGACCCCAGCCTACAGGGCAGCTAGTGCCCAGACGCTGCCCCCTCCCCAGACCCCTTGTCAGCTCCTAAGCAGGGTGGGGGACCAGGAGCAGCCTCCATCTCCTCCAGGGGCTTCCTGTGAGGTCAGTAACAGAGGAGCTAGCATGCTGTGGGGAAATCACTTCCCTTTCTCCCAGGGGCACAGGCCCCTGGGGTGTGTGTGTGTGTGTGTGTGTGTGTGTGTGTATTTATTGAGACAGGGTCTCAATGTAATTCAGGCTGGCTTTAAACCCAGTGGTGATCCTCCTGCCTCAGCTTTGCAGGTTCTGGAATTGCAGGTATGAGGGAGGGACCTGGGCCTCCCACCCTTCCACCCCCACCCCAGGCCTGCAGACGGTTTTCTGATTCCCAGGCAGCCGCTGCCGTTGGGCCGAGGGTGGGCTAGGGCAGTGACCAACAAGCCAGGTACATCAGCCCAGGGCCAGGGGTGATAAGCAGGTTGAGCTCTGCCACTGGCACCCTGCAGTTGCCCGATAGTGGGTCCTGCTGTCTCCCAGGCGCACCCTGGCTGCCCCACCCGAGGGGCCCTGTGGTGGCTTCAGCAGGTGGAATGGGCAAAACCTAGGCAGCTCTGGTCCCTTGGACACCGGGGTGTCTCCATCTGCGCCCACCTGCCCTCCTCTCTAGTTCCTAGGGGGAGAGGGAGCAGGGACCTGGAGGTCCAGAGGTCCATCCTTTCCCTGGCACTGTGGCCGCCAGCGCTGCACCTCGGCCTGGTCTCTCCTCCGGTCCTCCCTGCAGCTTAGTTTAGACGTGAGGAAACTGGGCTGCATAGGAGTGACTTCCCTTGAAGTGGCAGTGCCCAGCCCCTTAAGCCCCTTCCCAGGGCATCCAGCTCTGTGCCTCAGCATGTGTGACTTCAGGGCAGAGTAGCACCCCAGGTTCATTTCCCTTTTTTTTTTTTTTTCTGGTATGGGGGATTGAACCCAGGGCCTTCACAGCAAACTACAGCCCCTGGCCCTTTGTTATTTTGAGATAGGGTTGCTAAGTTGTCCAGGCTGGGCTCAAACTTGCCGTCCTCCTGTCTCAGCCTCCCAGAGGGCTGGGATGGCAGGTATGTGCCCTCATAGCCAGCTGAAGGAAAGTAGGCAGAAGAGGGGAGAAGAGGCCAGGCAGAGACAGCAGCCCCGGGACACAGAGGAAGCTGGGGGAGGTGTCCCTGTGCAGCTGCCACAGCCACCACCACTGCCACCACAGGAGCCTCTGGCTTCCTTTGGCAGGAGTTGCTCTGCCTGGCCACAGGACACAAGCAGCACTGCTCAGAGTCACCTCACCCCAGCCCCCCTCGTGTCCCAGGCCTGCTCTCCCCACTGACCTCCTCTGTGCCCCGCCCTCCCCATCAGCTATCTCTCTCCCCGCCCACCCCCTGCTTTTTCTCAGCCACAGCTCCCAGGAACAGGGGTGGTGGCCCAGGACTCCAGTACCAACTGTGTGGTTCTTGGAAGCCTGACTGAGCTGGGGCAGCACACAATGGGTCTCTCCGTCTCCACCATCTGTGGCGAGGCCACTTTCCGCTGTCCTCTGGCTGTAGCAGTTTTGCTACAAAGTCAGAGATCGGCGAGCTGGCTGTGTCTCCTGAACACTGACCGGCTCCTTTATTTCTTAAGAAGAGGAAAACCAAGGCGGGTTGGGGCTCCCCAGGCTCCCATGGCGTGTTCAGATGTCCCCGAGCCCTGTCCCCCTGGGCTAGAGACAGAAAGGCAGCAGGGCCTGGCAGTCTGGTGGCTCTGAGGAGGCGAGTGACAGCTCGACTGAGGGCCACCTGGCCAGGCTTTGCTTAGAGCCTGCCTGACGAGCTCACTTATCTCACACAGGCAGGTGTGGAAAGCGCCGTATGACCTTTGAGGGCATACCCAGGGCGGCGGGGGTCTTCAAGGACAGGCGTGGGGGAAGGTTCTCAGGGCTCCTCCTTCCGTGGCCTGGGCAGGGCAGGGGAGGGATCACAGTGCCCTCAAGGGTTAGGTGGCACAGGACTGAGCAGGTGGGGTGGCTGCGGTGGGGACCACGGAGTCTGGCTCAGGTCTGGGGTCGCCTAGCAGAAGTAACTCCCTTTCTCGTTTCTGTTCCCTCCGTTGCCTGGGCCTTTTGCAAGCTCTGGATTTAATTCATTTAGAAGTATTCATGGCTGAAGATTGGTCATCTCCATTCTCTTGATTTATAACTTATTATCATCATTATTATTGTTTCGTTTTTAGAGAGGGTCTCGCTGTGTAGTCCTGACCTTGAACTCACAGTGGTCTTCCTGCCACAGCCTCCTGAGTGTTGGGATTACTGACGTGCGCCACTGTGCTGGACACCGCATTTTAAAATCCTGGGCAGACAGCTTGCATCAACACCTTCTCAGTGTAGCATGGGTCGTAGAAGGAGCTGACCCAGCTTGGGTTCAGGGCAAGGATGGTCCCTCCTCTCCTAGCTGCGCCCTGGAACACAGCCCCTGAGCCGCCAGCTGCACCCTGGCATGCAGCCCCAAGGACCCTGGCAGGGAAACCCCTCCGCAGGGGCTCGGGCAGCCAGCCCAGCTCCGCCGGCAGCACAGGCAGTACACAAAGGGCGCTCTGCTGCGCAGCTGAAGCCTTGAATTTGTTTTCTTTGCATTTCCTGTGGCAGGAAAAGTCAAACCCTGCGTTCCTGAAGTGTGGATTTCAGGTGGCTTTCCAGGAGCCGTCTGTGTGGCCTCCACCCTGGCTTGTTCTGTACCAGGGGAACTCAGGCGCCTGTCCCTGGGGTTTAATGGTGGTCACCGCCCTCCTGGGCCCTGAGGTCTTCCCGGGTGGGCTTCAGTTACCCACTTACCTGTTGGAATTGGCTCAGTTTGGGGGTACAGGGATTGAACCTGGCATGTTTGCATGCCGGGCACAGACTCTGTCCCTGAGCCCTGGTGTTTTGAAGTTTAAGGTCACTTTTCTTGGTTCCTCATCTGTGGAAAGGGAGGGTAGCGCCAGGGGCTCTGTGGCTCCTTCCTGCTTGGCTGTTCCCCGGATATTCAGGCCAGGGCCAGATGCAGTCTCTCGGATGCACCAGGGCCTGTCCCCTTGTGGGCCTTGCCAGCGAAGCCTCAGTAAACCACAGCCCTGTCCCTCCTGGGTTCCAGGAGGGGGAAGCAGCTGCCCTCAGCCCTAGCCTGAGCAGCTGCGCTCTGATCTCAAATTAGAATCAGCCTCTCTGCCCACTTTGCACGGTGCAAAGCCAGCCTTTCAGCTGCAGCCTTGTGACCAGGAGCAGCAGCAGGCTCCGGGCTCTGGACAGAGGGGAGGCCTGCACAGCCTCAGGGCCCAAGGCCTCAGTAGGGGAAGGAGGGAGCCCAACGGGTGGACAGTGGTGTGGACACAGCTGATTAGAAAATATGGTAAATGCTTAAATCAAAAATCTTTGTTACAGTAAAAGAGATTACAGTGAAGTCCCTAAGCACTCTCCCAGGCTGGGGACTTAGCTTGGCAACTCAAGCACTTGCCTGGTAAGCTTGAGGTCATGAGTTCGATCCCCAGTACAAAAACAAAACAAAATAAAAAACTTTCCCTTTCAAAACACATTTCCCATGTTCTTGCCGTTTTCAGAAGCAGTTCTAAAAGCCCCTTTCCTGAGTGTTTTTACAAGCTGTAATCAAAAACACGATGATTGTTGCTGCTAGGTGCCACGCAGTGGAAAGGCACTGGGTCTTCCTCACGTTATTCACCAGATCTGGCACCATGTGACTTCCGCTCTTCCCCAGAGTCAAAGGTACCATGAAAGGTCAATGTTTTAAATCAGTTCAGGACATCGAGGCAGCCAGGACTGCATAACTAAAGACCCTTAGGAAAGAGGACTCCAGCCTGCTGCAGGAAGAGGCGAGGCTGCAGGGACAAGTGTGTTTGAAGGGGATCCTGAGGGGGATTCATGGCAATGCGTCTGTTACTGTAATAGTTTTCCTTAACAATTACCATATTTTTCAACCACATCCCTCCAAACGGTAGTCCCCAAGGTGCCTGGATCTTGCCAGGACGGGGCTGAGCCCAGAGTCACGCCTGCTGCTGCTCATGACGAGCTGAGCTCTGTGCTCCTGTGCCTGGGTTCAGCCTTCCTCTCCCGTTCTCAGCCACTGACTGGCTGTGGGTGTGCAGGGTGACAGTGATAGGAGGGACAGACTCCTGCCGTGAGCTGGCACCGCCCCACACTCAGCCCCAGGGCTCCCTGTGCCCCCTGTCCCCCTCTCCTGGGCCCTGGGAGGGAGGAGGCCCTGGCCCCAGTCTCTGTGAGGCTGTTGCCTCCTCTCCCAGCACACAGGTCCACCTGAGATCTCTAGCGTGGTGACTCAGGCTTGAGGTCTCTTGTCCGTATCTTAGGTCTTCCCGAGCAAGCTGAGTCCCCAGAACCCATCCTATCTGGGTGGTTGAACTTTGATCTTATTTTATTTTTTGGTTTTCTGAGACAGGGTGTCACTGTGTAACCCAGGCATTGATATTGAACTCACGGTGATCCTCCTGCCTCAGCCTCCCAAGTGCTGGTGTTCCAGGTGTGCACCACTGTGCCTGGCTTCTAGGAGCCTTTCTATTTGAACAATTGAGCATTATTTTAATGACTAGTAGAAAATGTAGCTAGTTCAAAACAGGCTTGACCTGTCCAAGAATTCAAGGACCTGGAGACAGGCATTTTTTAAAAGATCAAAGGAAGAGGAGGGACAGTAGGTTGAACATGCTCTGTGCTCCTGAGCCTCTGTGAAGTGACATGGGTCACTGTCGTGGCAAGCACTGAGGAAAAAGAGAAGCAGGTGATGCATGGATACGATGAGAATCCCCGCGGGAACTTGCAGGGCTCATAACTGGGAGACACTCATTTCCGCCATCACCACTCACAGTGGCCCCGATAGAGAGGTGTCAATTGTCATGGAGCTGGAGGCAGGCCCACGGTGGCCAGGCGAGCTGCCCAGCATCACCCCGACAGCATGCTCATTGCCAGCAGCGAATGGTTCTCCATGGTGTGGTGGCCTGGACAGATCTGTCCCCAGGCAAGGCCCAGGGCTGGCAGGTCACTGTCCCTGCATGACAGCAGTGCCGAGCAGGGCTTGTCCCTGGCTGGAAGTGGTGGCTCATGCCTGTAGTGGTGCAGATAGCAGGCTCAGGTTGGCAGGGAACATGGCAAGAGGCAGAGCCAGGTGGAGACAAAGACCAGCTGGGCCCACACAGCAATGGGGCCTCAGGGGACTTCAAGGAGGGTGTCAGGTGCTAAATCAGTCTTGCTGAGGTTGCTGGTCTCCAGCAGGCCCTGTGTTGTGACAGCTGGTGACAGCTGAGGGGGACTTATGTCTAAGAGAGCTGTGAACTGAACGAGGACGTCACACTTGGCCCAGACACAACCCCACTGCAGCCCCAGGACCCGTGAGGGTGGCAGTCAGGTCTCCCCAGAAGCCAGCCACACAGATTTCTTGCCCAAGGCCCCTTCTAAAACCCCTGTGTACTGCTTACCATGGTCCAATCCGCTGCCGCCCTGTCCCTCTGCCTCTGCTCTGCTGTCGGTCGCCTTAAGGTTTCAGGCTCTGTCATGCTGTAGTGAGAGGTGAATTCTGGTAGTGAGCACAAGTAACCAGCGTGCTGCTGTGAGCCATAGGTTCGTGTAGCAAAGCTGATCATAATATGCGGTGTGTATTTCAGGAAAGAAATTCATTATAGGGGCTGGGGATTTAGCTCAGCGGCATAAGCGCCTGCCTTGCAAACAGGCAGTCCTGCGTTCGATCCCCGGTACCGATAAAAAGACCAAAAAAAAAAAAAAAATTAATTATAGCCAGAGTCACATCGTTGTGAAGCTCCTTCAAATCCTCGCCATTTGAACACACTTATCCTACATCCTTGCCGCTTTCTGAAGCAGTTCCAAAGTCCTCTTTCAGGAGCGTCTCTATGAACTGTGGTGAAAAGTGCTGTGAACGCTGTTGCCCAGGGCCATCCCCCGACAAGGAAGGCTGAAAACCACCGCGGTGTGGCGCGTTGTCCTCGGTCACCAGTCTGGCACCATGTGACCTCTGGGGCTTCCCAAGTCAAAATGACCACGAAAGGTCAACGTTCTGAATCAGTTCCAGACAGACATGGACACAGCTATTCCAAAGCAACAACAGGGCTTAGGATTTAGCTCAGTGGCATTACGCGCCTGCCTTGCAAGCAGGCAGTCGTGAGTTTGATCCCTGGTACCGATTAAAAAAAAAAAGACAAAAAACCAAACAAGGCGACGACAGACCCACATGAAAGTGGGCTTCCAGAGGAGCTTCAGGAAGCCTCAAGAACAGCGGATGAGAACACTTAAAGTGAGCATCAAAGTGAGCATGAGGATTCTGAAGAGATTATGGCAGTGTCTTTTACAGTAATACATTAAAATTAAGCGACACCAACATGCTACTTTTTGCTCCCACCTCATAAAGGGGGAGTGAAAGACAGGTGGGTACCTTGGCCTCCAGGAGCTTGGGATTTCCTGAAGGGGAGACAGAAGTGTGCTTGCAAGTTTGCAAACCTCCCTGAGCACTGGTCCACATCAGTGGTGCTTCAGAAATGACTCATCTCTCTCTCTCTAACCTTGAAAACAGAACAAAACTTTTCTCAAGCCCTGTTTTTGTAGCTTTTGCTTTTTGAGACAGGGTCTTGCTACGGAGCCCAGGTTGGCCTTGAATGCACAGCAATCCTCCTGCCTCAGCCTCCCGGGTGCTGGGGTTACAGGTGCTCCCCGCCGCCCCTGGCCTGTTAGCACAGTGAGGCCACTCCAGTGCGTGAGCAGCTGTCAGTGCCGCCTTTGCGGCAGTGAGGACTCTGCTGAGAGCCACCCGCTTGGCTTGTGGTGTCGCGCAACACCTGCAGGGGCGTCTACACTCACCTCTTTGTTATCGTTGAGGAGACTGAGGCACGGAGCAGCCACGCACAGCTGGCAGAGCCCAGGCAAGGCTCCTCTACCCTGGGCACTCCCGTGTGCCAAGCCGCCTAACTTCCACCCTCGCTCGTCACCAAGACTCCTGTGGCTTAGACGTTGCTCTTATTTTTCAATAATTTTTTTTCTAATTACAAAAGTTAAACTTTTTTTCTTGCCAGTGTTTGGCTGTGTTGCTAGGCTATGCTCAAACTCCTGGGCTCAGGCCATCTTCCTGCCTCAGCCTCATGGGTAGCTGAGACTACAAGCCCATGCCACCATGCTCAGCTATATTTTGGGAATATTGAATAGTATAGAAAAACATAAAGAGGAAAATTAAATCTTTTGTGATCCCAGAACTAAATCCTGTTAATATTTTGGGGGAACATCAGTATTTTTTTTTTTTTTTTTATCAACGATGTATATTTCCTAAAAATTGTTGCTGGATATAGTGGCACAGGCTTGCGGGAGGCTACTCGGGAGGCTGAGGCAGGAAGATCACTATGCGTTCAGGCCAGCCAGGGCTATGTTGTAAGACAGGGAAAAAGGCCCTGAGCTCTCGAAGCCCTTTGGCAGCCACTGTCTCCCTGCAGCCCCTCCCAGAGCTGACATCCTGCAACCCCCAGGCCAGCGGGGGAGGACCTGGCCACCTGCGCTTCAAGGGTTGGGATGATCCCCCCGGAGGCGTGGGGACTCTCAGTACCGTCAGCTCACCTTGCAGTGAACCTACAGCTGCTCTGAAAGATAAACCTATTTCAAAGGAAAGAAAAATGCTGCCCAGGAGAGGTAACTGAACAAAGAAAAGATGGAGTAGGACTAGGTCCTTGCCGGGTGAGAATACACGTATTCAGAATTAGAGTCCTGAATATATACAGATCTTCTAGAAATAAATAAGAACATTTTGGGAGGATGAAGCAGGAGGATCACTCTGAGTTCCAGGTAAGCCTTGGCTTCATAGTAAGACCCCATCTCCAAAAATAAACAAATGTCAGGGATATAGCTTAGCGGCACAGCGCCTGCCTGGCAAGCACAAAGTCATGAGTTTGGGCCCTGGTATTAAAAAACAAAACAAAACAAAACAAAAGAAAAAACAAATTTGTAAGAAGGCAAGAAGAGGAGCTGGGGATTTAGCTCAGCGGCATAAGCGCCTGCCTTGCAAGCAGGCAGTCGTGAGTTCGATTCTTGGTACCGATATAAAAAAGACAAAAAAAAAAAAAAAAAAGGCAGAAAGACTGCAGCTGGGTGTTTTTGCAGTAGAGGAAATTTGTATGTCAATAAATGTATGAAAGGTGTGTGACTGCACAGGAACCAGGCAGATGTTAACAAAAGCTACTCATCAGGTTGGCAAAGAAAAACAGGCATGAAGTCCAAGCGTTGGCAGGATGTGGGCAGAGGGAGGCTCCTTGCCTGGTGAGAGTGTAAGCTGCTTACACCCTTTAGGGCAGCAGTCATCGCGACTGGGCCAGGAGTTTATTGCTCTGGCGCTGCCCACTCAGGGTTTGCCTCTGCCCTCTTGCCCAAGGGCCAGCTCCTTCCTCCACTGTACCAGGAGGTGCAAGCCAGCATTCTGCAAGTATTTTGTTGGGTTGGGGGTTTTTTTGAGACAGGGTCTCACTGCGTAGCCCAGGCTGTCCTCAAACTCACAGTGATCCTCCTGCCTCAGCCACCAGGGTTCTGGGATTACAGGCGTGCGCTACCACATCCAGTGAGAGGCCAAGTTTCTGAGCAGCTGCCGGAGTAGGGTCAGAGCTGCGCCTGGAGCGTGTGTCCTGCTGCTGTAGTTCGGAGACAGGAGCACAGAGTAACATCTCACGCAGAGTCCAAGACACCTTGGGTGACCCCGAAGCTGCTTTGGTACCTGGCACATGGTCCCGGGAGCTGGGGCTGTGACCCAGCTGACTCTCCCTGGGCGACGGGCCAGGCTCGACTTCTGTGCAGTCTGCCAGACCAACAGGCCATCCCCAGTGTTACGTGCTGTCTCGTGTCCCTGCTCTGTAAAAGCGAGGGTGGCCTCCTCCAGCCAGAGTCCAGATCTGGGGCAAGATGTCACTTGAGCTTCCAAGTCAACCTGTGGAGACACAGAGGCCTCATTTTCTTTTTTGTTTCTTCTCTGTCTCTCTTCTCTGTTTCTCTCTGTCCCTCTGTCTCTCTGTCTCTGTCTGTCTGTCTGTCTCTCTCTCTCTCTCTCTCTCCCTCCCCCTGAGACAGGGTCTTCCTTGGAAGTGCAGACTGACTGTGAACTCAAGTTGATTCTCCTGCCTCAGCTTCCCAAGTGCTGAGATTCTCCACCATTCTTGTCGAGGGCCCCATTTTTCACTGCTGAAATTGGACATTTTAGTCCCCTAGAATCAGCAGGAGTAAGAAACCAGAAAACTGAAGTCCATTTGAACATAGAGGTGTGTACCCACCCGAATGGAAGCACCTCAGAAGAAAAAGCACAAATGGTCAATAAATACATGAATATGTGTAAAAATTTTTGCTGGGCAAGGTGATATCTTGAACTGTATTCCCAGAACTCAAGAAGCTGAGGCAGAATGGTCTCCATGAGTTCAAGGCAGCCTGGGTTATATAGTGCATTTAAGGTCAACCTGAACTACGTAGTGAGACCTTGGCTCAATAAACCAAAAACTGAAAACCAAAACATCACTGACCATTAGAGAAATGCAAATTAAAATAACACTGAGATTCTAGCTCAGCCCAGAAGGAGTGGCCACCACAAGTGCTGGCGAGGCTGAGGATAACAGGAGCCCTTCTCCTCTGCAGGATATAACCTGTGCGGAGTCCTCAAAATACTAAAAGTAGAAATTCCATTTGACCCCACCATCTCCTTCTAGGACTCTTCCCAAAAGAATTAAAGACATCATTTCTGGTGACCTGTGCACACCCATGTTTACAGCAGCACAGCTCATGATAGCTGAGTCTTGGACACAGCTTTTATGCCTGTCAACAGACAGATGGATAAAAAAATGTCATGTTTACTCACAGTTGAGCTCTACTGTGCATAAAGATAAATTTGAAGGGGAGATGGATGTACTTTGAGACCATAATGTTAAGTGAAATAAATCATAGTTGAGCGTGGTGGCACCTATAATCCCAGCACTTGGGAGGCTGAGGCAGAAGAATCTCCAAGAGTTCCAGGTCAGCCTGGGCTACACAGTGAGACCCTGTCTCTCTCTCTCTCTCTCTCTTTTTTTTGTCTTTTTCCTTTTTATCGGTACCGGGGATCAAACTCACGACTGCCTGCTTGCAAGGCAGGTGCTTATGCCGCTGAGCTAAATCCCCAGCTCCTAGGGCTGCATTTTTGATAATAGGCAAAAATGTTACCTTGGAAAGAGCCAGTCACTTGGGCCCTCCAGGTGCCACATGTGGGCTTCAGGATACAAAGAGCTTCATCACCAAGCCCAGTGTCCCTGGAGCTGGTGGCACCCAGGTGATGCTGCTAACCATGCAATGCTCAGGATCCCCCAGGATCGGGACCTGGGACCTTGCTGGTGCCAAAGCAGCACCCCACAGCATCCCTGCTGCTCATGTCACTGCCAGGACAATGCTGTCCCTGTCCCTGTCCCTAGGCCTGAAGTTAGCGGGCAGGGCTGGCTTTTCCCTGTAGCTGGCCACTGTCAAAGTCTGCATAGCATGGGGCCCTGCCAGGCTGGGGAGGCAGGAGACACAGTGAGGGACAGGCAGGGATGCATGTGGACAGCCCTGAGACTGGCCAGGGGCTCCTCAGACTGGGGAAGTTGTCATCTGTCCTGGTGTGGAAACCCAGTCACACCCTGGTGACTCTCACATGGACTGACTGTCCAGGCAGAAGCGGGGGCCATGACACAGGGTCAGCTGCTGGTGGTGCCCGTGGGCCCAGCCCCCTCGAGGCTGCCCACATCCACATCTCTCAGGGAACAGTGCCTGTCCCCTGAGCAGGATCTGGAGACGGGGTGGGGGAGCATGGAAGATGGTGTCCGGACCAGCAGTGGGGTGGGACCTGTGCAGCTGTCTCGAGCTCAGGAGTGTTGACTGCTCTGCCACTGAAATTCGTTTTTTGTTTGTTATTTTTTTGATTTTTGGAGATGGGGTCTCACTATGGAGCCACAGCAATCTTCCTGCTTCAGCCTTGCAAGTGCCGGGATTACCAGTGTGCACCACCACACATCTTCATCGTTGAAATTCCCAGTTACTTTTTAAACAGGGGAACCTCAAAGCATGTATGTTGTCCTGACGGCACCACAGGACTGCTCCCTAGGGAAGTGCCAACAGGACCACCCTGTACCCAGGTGACCATTGGTGCCTCTGAGGTCTGCGATGGCCTGAACATGGCCTCACAAAGACTCATGTGCTGGAAGATGGGCTTCGGCCCAAACCATACCTGTAATCCCAGCTCTCTGGGAGGCTGAGGAAGGAGGATCACAAATTCGAGCTCAGCCTGGGCAATTCAGAGATTTAGGCGAGACTTTCTCAAAATGAAAATAAGGGAATTAATAAATAAGGGTTAGGAGACAGCTCAGAGCAGAGGACTTGGGTTCAGTCTACAGCACCAGAGGAAGAGGACGGTGGGGAAGGGTGGAAGGGCCGAGCAGCGGGCACCTAGGAGTTTGAGGCCAAGCCCCTTAAGGTCCTCCGTGGTTCACTTTGGAGCCATTTGGATGTAGACAGTCAGGCCAGGCCAGGTGCAGCTGATGGTCTTTCGCCTGCCTAGCATGCTCCAGGCCCTGGGTTCTCTCCTCGCCATGGGAAAAGTTTTAAAGTTGGCGTGGACCGTGTCCTCCTTGCTGCTCATCCCCTGTCACAGGGGTCCCTGCCCTGGTTGCACCCACTGCACTATGATGCTGGCAGCGACCACCAACCACCACGACCCTCTGACGAGCACTTTTCTTTCTAAAGTGCCTAGACTCGGGCATTATGATGTAGCAACAGGAATCAGGCTCCTGTGGCTTTTGCACATCTGCCACGGCCCTGCCTTGTCACAGAGGCATTTGTGCCACCCCACAGCTGGACCCAAGGACCAGGCCCTCCATACGTGATGCTGAGCTGGCTCCCAAAGACTCCATAGTTCAGCCACAAAGGAAAGCAGGCCAGGTGCCTCCTGACTGTAAGGAGTTGGATTTTTTTTTTTTTTTTTTTTGAGACAGGATCTCATTGTGCAGGTTGTTCTTGAATTTGCAGTGATCCTCCTGCCTCAGCCTCCTGAATGCTGGGATCATAGGCACATGCCATCAGGCATGGCTGTAAGGAGTTGGACTTTATCAGGAAAACATGTTAAATAAAGTGACTTTGGTTTTTATAAGATCAGAGTCAGCCAGGCATGGTGGGAATACTCAAGAGGCTGAGGCAGGAGGATTACTGCAAATTCAAAGCCAGTCTGGGCTACATGGTGAGTTTAAAGCCAGCCTGAACTACATAGCAACACCCTGTCTCAAAAAAACAAAAACCAAAAAAACTCAAAAACCAGGGCCAGGCTGTGGCCGAACTCCGATACTGCTGTTTCTCTCGGAGGACACTGATGCTTGCGGCACGGTTGCTGTTTCCTAGCATTGGGCCCCAAGTGAACTACCCGTGGTTAGGGGACTCAGAGCTGTGGTGTGTGCCAGGGCCTCCACGTGCAGTTCCGTCCTTCCTTCCACAAAATCCTGACTGGGATTGGTCCTGGGAAGGAAAGGCTAGAATGACAGCTGCACAAAGTTCCATACAGGCCACATGTGGTGACACGTGTCTGTAATCCCAGTACTTGGGAGGCTGAGGCAGAAGGGTTTTAACAAGTTCAGCCCATCCTGGGTTACATATTATGTCCAAAACCAGCCTGAACTACACAGTGAGACCCTGTCTCAAACATTACCCCCCCCCAGGAGAGGCAGAAAGGCTCCATGCAGAGCAGACAGAGAGACTAGGACCAGAAGGCTACAGAGGATCTGGGATAATCTTGACCCTCTTGCGACCCACGTGTGATGTGGCAGAAGCAGATTGTGTGTCTCCTGCTCTGTCCCTCGCTGGCTGTGTGAGTTTTGTTTTTTTTTTTTTTTTCTTTTTTTTTGAGATGAGGTCCTACTGTCTTCCCCAGGTTGGTCTCCAGCTCTTGGGTTCAAGAGACTCTCCTGCCTCGTCCTCCCCAGTAGCTTGGACTATAGCCCCACTGGTCTAGGCTGAGACTTCTCTCTCATGGTTAGTGTGGGGAAAATAGTGGTGTCTGTGTCATGCTGAGCTTGCTCTAGAGATTAATTCAGGCAGTGCAAGTGGCGGTGAGGCCACACCATGGGGCTGGCCTGGGGCGTGGGGGACCCGTTTCCAGGAGCCTCTCTCAGCTCTGCTCTGCAGTGTTTATTCTTTTATACTCATGGTCTCACTTTGGAGCTCAGTCCCCACTGTCCATTTCTCCTCCTCCCTCCTAACAGATACCCATTTGATTTGGGGCTACTGTATCCAGCCAGGCCCAGCGAGGGACATGGGCACCTGTGCTCTGTCTTCCCAGCCTGCTTTTCGGTGGGAAGATCACGTGACTGGCTGCAGCCAATGGAGCTCAGAGGACGGGTGCTCCTAAGCTGGCGGCCACCTGCCGCTTGAGGCTTAGAACTGCAGCACAGATACTAACACACCTACATCCCCCACACAGCGCACACACACAGTTCCAGGGGAAAAAGCTAAGAGACCCCAGAGATGCCAGCCTATTGTACTTCCAGTCTTTATCACATGAGACAGAGACCATTGTTTGCTTAAGTGCCCTATAAATCCGGTCTTTGGCCACCTGTAGCCATTATTTATTTCTGACATATTTATTTTTATTCAGTTTGGCTTTTCTAGACAGGTCTCACTATGCAGTTCAGGCTGACCTTAAATTCACAGCGATCCTCCTGCCTCAGCTTCACTGGGATTCAGTTGTGCACCACCATGCCCAGTTAGCAATGAATAATGTACTGAATTTCATTTGGCTATGATTTTCTTCCTTTTTCTGGAAACAAGATCTCCTCTATGTAGCTCAGGCTGGCCTGGGACTCACTGTATAGCACACCTGCCTCAACCTCCTGAGTGCTGGATTACAGGTGTGGATTACAGGATTTGAGGCCAGTCTGAACTACGTAGTGA